CATATATTTGAGTATTGAACTGGACTGGAGACTTAACTGATGAAGCTTATCTCGTATAAGTAAAGACTGGATAGACCTGATATATCTCCGTGTCATATCGATGAATAAGAGGTGGAATCACGTTTACCTCATACCTCAGCTAATAACTTGGGTTCCAATTTATGCTGCTTACATTTTCCCTCCGATCTTGGCCACTTGTGAGGATACACCCATGGTCGAATTGTTAACGTTTGGAAGTTTATTCCTCGCATCTAACAGTGAGACAATGTATACCTCTAACGGAGAACGCCGTTTCAGTACCTTCTGTTGGTTATCTTTATGCAAGATGAGATGTTCACTGCAAAGCGGATAGAGAAACTGTGGTGACCTAAACTCCGACTTACTGGTTTTTGGATCAAATCGGACGGTGATAGAAGTGTGTGAAAGAAATAGTAGTGAAGAAATTGAGGGGGAAATGAAACATCGAAGTTTCTGCCAAACTGACAGAAGCAAAAGGGGAGGCAGTGATGAGTAATTCAGTAATTGAATAGTTACCGAATGGCCTCCAACCTGAATACTGATCCAGAAACGATTAGGGAGGACCGAAAAGAGCGGGGAAACCAGTTAGTTAGGCTGTTTGAAAGAATTTGAGCTGGTTTCCGGTAGCCTACAGTTAGAAATGACACTTATGATTACTGCGTAGCCATCTGTCTTGCTAGACCTTGGTTTTGGTCACACTACCGGCAGAATCTTTAGCCCAGCTCACCTAACCCAGTGGCCAGGCTGTTCCTAACACCACCCCAACCAGCGAAGAGAGAATATAACGGGTCTGATGAAAGGCGTATTGGTTAGCGATGGCAGGAATAGATGATAGAGGTACTTAATCACACCACAGCGTTACCACTGAGCTGTTGTCCCTTGAAAAATGTATTGGCTACAGTGTGATTGACTCCTCACGGATGAACAAATAGACCGTTGGTAGGAGAACGGATGAGGTCCGAATGGCTTTACGAACTTCTTTGATTCTCTCCAACTCCACAAGAGTGTTGATACAGGAATCATCACCACACGTAGCATCAGCTCTAGTAGCATCACATGGCAGCATGGTAATCTAACCTTTAAGAAACTTAGATGAAAGGAAATAAATATCACTCAAGAGTTCTCATTGATATGACGCAGAATGTATTCGACGTGGTGACCATTATCTTGAGGTTCTGCATCTCACAAGAAGTGTTGTCGCTGAACTTGGGGGATGTATTAGTAGCCCATATTTACAGAGGAGGCCGAAGGTACTGTCGCTCTAACCACAGACATGTTAGTTCTAACAGCACCTTATTTAAGATGATAGGAAGAGTAATAAAGAAATTGGTAAAATAACTTTTCGTGCGACGTATCTCATGGAACCAGAAAACCTATATTATCTGACAAAACTTAGGTCGCAGCGAAGAGCACAAGCATCCGTGTTGTGTCAGCGCATACGAGTATCACTTCCCTCACTTTGAAGGAATATGGTTGTACCTACTGATTGAAAACGAAATGACTGAAACCGAATTGAATACACCATCGCCTTTGATATCCAGAATGCACAAGGATTGGTTCGATTGTGTGAAGGAGGTGACTTTGCGTGGGATAATCTTGTGGAAACTGTTTCATATTGATTGTCTGCAGAAGAAAGCAAAGTAAGAGCAAAAACTGGGTAAAAACCAGGTCTAAAAACTAAGTATCACTACTAATGGCGTGACAAAATTAATAATCTGTTGAGCGTTTCAGGCAAAAAGCGAGTAGTTAGACTGATGTGAATACTCACAGGATAAAACTAAAATCACTTGCGACGTTTGGGGACGAGTATTATGACTAACAGTCAATTTATATGGGGATAATCGCAATGGTGTAGGTGTAATGAACCCACGAATAGTATGAAGAAACAAACGTTCATTTAAATAGGCAAAGTGAAACTGGATCTACTAAATACTCTTCTATTAAGTAATAAACTGCAAATTCTCAGAATGGACTATCAAGAGAACTGTATGATAATAATAGTTAAGTATTGGTTTGTAGGGATTTGATTGATTGGTTACAGACAATATGTGAACATATATTACAGTAGTTTTCAGCGGATTCAGTTCCAAAATATTTCATTTTCGAAACAGAACATACATGTTAAGCGATGATCTGACGTAATCATTTGTCGTAGTGTTGTTGCACATGGAGAGAAAACCAGTTTTGTACATTTTTTCTTCAATTCCTCCAAGAATTGCATAGAGTAAAGTGGGAAACTAATTAAACGAGTTCATATGTTGGTCATCTGATGTAATTGCACGATAAACGTAATAAGAACTTCAGAAGAGTTTAAGCATTTTGATGAAAGGAAATTCTAGTAGCCCAGTGATTTAAGTGGGCCGCGCCTTCTGTCGAGTCGCTTAGATAACTAGATAAGTAAAGACACTAAGTAGAAAAGGAATAATACACACTAGAAGCATTCTGTTGTCAAACAAAAATCCTATTCCCCACTTGCAGAAGTAACCTTGACGTGGTGTGGGTGTTTAGAATGCCTTTTAAGAAAAGCTGCCATTTGCCACGTTTGTATGGTTATTTCCGCACTTCGCTTTCGATAGATGACTCTAAAGTTTCTAAAGCTTTGCTGAAACAAATCAACCTCAAGGGAGTGAAGAAAATATCGTTTAGCTTCAATCCTTTGTTAGAAAAAACTCAGTCTGTCAGGTTGGTGGAAATTTATAAGATCAAACTTTGTAGATGTCTTTGTACAGTGCTAAGTGAACCTCGGTGGAGAGCATCTAATTCCAGTCTTTCAACGAAAATAAATGTGCTTTCGGAAAATCGTCCTCCTGAAGTCGAAGTTTCTTATAGTATGTGTATGTTGACAAACTCTAAAAGATTTCAGGTAATGGCAATATTCTTGTTGTAAAAACGGAAAATTTAAGCCTTCGAGAGCTTATAGAAGTTATTATTTTGCACAGTGATATGAATGCCGCCGAATAATGTACTTTCAAACTATAGTAATACATATTTACTCAAACTAGACGCTTTTTTATATTACCTATGAGGTTGGTTCTTGATTGCTTCATATCGCAATGTTTCATATATAGTAACGGTTATCAGTGCATTATTTCATCAGATAACCAGTAGGAACTTGACTGCCTATATTAATGTTGCTCTGAGATTTCGAAATGTAAGCATTTACGACCTGGCATTTAATTGTATTTCTTTGATTCGTGCCTAAGTGCCAGTTAGGCCATAGGATTGTGAACAGTGGGGTGATAGTCAGTGGAATACTAGTTAGGTCCCTCATGATCGGCTGTCATTTACCAACCTTGTGAAGTTTCTAGTTCCAATCGTCTTTTTAGGTGTATACCTTTCACATTGTCTAGGTGCTCTTGTTAGAATCCGTTCAGTTACCTGTGCAACTACTAACGACGTCGTGTAAAATTTGTGTGGTATCATGTTCAGGTGTTGTAGATACTCGGGCCCTAACGGCTGGCTTACCGCCTTGAACCCCACTCCACCTACTAATGTTTGAACATCCAGTTAGTACCGGTAGCCCTCAAATAATAAGTGTGGCTCATTGTTAACTGCACGGTTATACAAGTGGTTGTTTGTTGAATATTTGCGGTATGGAGCATGGTGATATATTACTAGTGTGGTAATTATTCAAGCACAATTTGCTGCTAAGTTTAGAGTTGTCACGTAACTTTCTAATCTATTTCATATCGTTCTAATATTTTATGTTATTAAATTCTAATGACAGCAACGTTTTTCAGATATACCTTTTATGATGTGTGGTATTATTAATGTGAAGTAATTTCAGATATATAGAAAACTACGTAGGCTTTAAAGTAAACTAAAAATGCATTCAATACTTAAAGCAAGTTATCTAGTAGTGCAACTATTTTGGTATGATTAAATGTTGTTTCGAATACGCTCACACTGCTTAATTTCTGCTTATAGAGTCATCTGTCTTCGTTAGAAGTGGAAGACTGCAAGGAATAACTCATTAAGTCTGTACTTGTACCATGGTTAAGTGTAGTCTATGTTGGAAATGTGGTTCTGCGGTATAAGCACTCAACTTTCATCAATAGGTCCCGTTGTCGAACCCCGAAACCTACTTCAACTTAAGAAGCCGGGTAGTATCACCAGTCCCCTACACAATGTGACTCAGCTTGGTGCATAGTATGTTTTGGGTAACTGAGCTCAAACTTTTCTGGTAGTTAGGAGGCATAGAGAAATGTGGGTTTACTCGTAAGTGTATCACACAACCGACGCACACTAATTGAACAATAGATATAAATTAAGAAGAATTACCACATTATCTTCATCTTATCCGTAACATGACATACTTTTGTTTTGCCTTATGAAGGTTAACTGTGTTGACGATATTTGTTTTCTTCACTATTACCTTAAGGCTGATATGTAGTAATGATGACAGACAACTGCACAGAAATATAAGATATGATACCTGTAGTGTCTTTATACGTATTATCCTCATTAAATGAGTGGCACAGCAACCAGAATAGTTGTAACTTATATTCATCTGTTACTGCACAGTATTTCATCAGTTACCGCACTTCTTTTGAGAACACATCGAATTGATTCATTCTAAATTCTACAGAAAATAGTTGCTGTTTAACCATTTCTGTGTTGGTAGAGTAATTAGCCCTTACAGCTGATTGCTGGGTTCGTTGGTTCAAACACTCGGTTTTCGATGAGTCACGGGTTCGAGTCTCGTACCACCTGCTTCAGCCTCATTGGGCAACTGGGTATCAGTCCTTTTCTCACGATAAATGTAGCTTTTAGTTTGGGACATGATAATTCGTTCCGGGCAATTGAGTTCAAGCACACAAACCTATGGGTTGTTGTTAAGTTTTTCAGATTTGGCCTAATCCTGTAACACTTTTAAGCTTTATTGTTATCAGTTCACTTGCCAAAAGAATGTATGTATACCTTCATAATTTCAGATTGTGATTCCTACGTCTATGGATAACTAATCAAGTACAATCTCCACTATGGAACCAAGTACCGTTATGCTTTTATCTAAATCATCTGAAAATTATATTTGCCTAATGTGTGTGGATTCATTTCATTCAAAGAATGAATTTTTCAATCATCTCGGCATTGAACATGATTTCTTGGATTTGTTACATCATAAGAATCAATCCTTTATCAGTACACAATTTGATTGGATTCGATTTGTAAATTATGTTCGGAGGAATGTGAGCTTAAAAACAGAGTTGTCACTCTTCAATTAATTTTTATTAATTAATATCTAGAATACTTTTAATGTATCTGTACAAAAGACTACTAAATTTTATAAAAAGAATCTGTCTTAGCACGGTTTATATTTTATATTTTGTATAGATAATATTTAAATTCTAGAGTAAGAATAGGAATCAAACATGTATTAATCCTTTTCTAATTAGTATACTTGTCTGATCCCTTCTTCAACGAGTCGATTGAGAGTGTAGACATTACTTGTTTCGGGAATCGGTTCCAAAAGTTTATAATTCGATGAGAGAACCAGTTCTCCACAGCGATTCAGTTCCTTCTTGACTTTTGAACTCTCTTGCTATGCTCTCTAAGGTGTTCCAACTTGGTGAGAAGAAGAAAGAAAGAACAGATGAAACTCGTCGGCATTTCTTAGGATTTTGAGCATTGTAATGAGATTCCTCTGTCCACGATGTAATATGGAGAAGAGATTCAAGCTGTTAGGTCCCTCCTCGTATGATAAATTAGTCATATTAGGGAGCATACATGTGACCTTTGAACCCCTTCTAGAATATATGAGTTTCGCTTAGGACAACGGTAGACTGCTTGGATTCAGTTTTCTAATTTCCAGAAAGGTACATAAAGTAGTGAACATTTCAGTGGTAACGTTGTTGTTGATTAACGATTATATCTGACTTTTATAGGACATCTGTTCAATACTACTAGGTTAGTCCATAGTCAGTGGTTAAGGTGAATTGCTTCTGTAAGGAAATTGTTTTAAAAGATACGCATTCAAATGCTCACGAATTTGTATTTCATTGATATATAGAGAGACTATCTCCATTATTCGCCAATAAAATATTCATACCCCTATTGGAATGTGTAGACTTATCTTGTTAATTTTTCATCAGAATAAAAACAAGAACCTGGTATTAAGGGTAGGTGCAGAGTGTTTGGTAGGGAGGGGAAATCCATTGACGAGGCAATGAAGATGCATCGATTGCGATGGCTAGGATATATGTTAAGCATACTGAGTCATCGTTTTTCTCATTGAGCAATGTTAGCTGACGTAAGATTGGACTGGAAAAGACATCGTCAATCCATGAAGTCTTTGACTATTGATTTGAGCCACATAGTTGTAAATAGCCTAGTTAGTGTCCTTGAAATGCAGTGTTGATGAAATGGCTCAAAGTGATTCTCAGTGGTGCAGATATATTCACACTTTATACTCTCGTAGATTCATTAAGTCCTCCACATGTTTATTTCTTCTCTCGTACACTTCTCATTATAGTTCCTGCTAATTTTTCTTCTCTTCTATACCTTCGTGTGGAATATAGATTGTGGAAACTTGCACTGGTAGACTTCTGTGCAAAGTTCTACGTTGAGTTTAGTGAGTCCGTTAGTTTGTAACTCTGCAGTTACGCATCAGTTACTATTATACTGATGTTATACAATCATCAGGATTGGAATCCATTGTTTTGTTATTGACTAATTTATCCTTGGACTACAGCTTTTACTGAACCTTACAATCTACATAAAGTTATCAAACACAGGTATCATAGTGATGAGATTTAAAGTGCACAATTAAGATAATACGGTTTCTTATTTTTATATAGTGATAAACTGGTGAGTTATTCGCTTTCCTGACATCCATTGTAGCGTTATTTGTTTGTAAATTCTCATTTTTAGAAACCACATGATTTACGACAAGCGTTCTATGATGGTGAATGGAAGACAGATTCATTAGAACTACTTTATCCAGTCCTGTCTGACGATGAAGTTCTGTCTATCGGTAAGTTAGATCTGAAATTTCTGAAGTGTCTAGAGTGCTTAGTTAATAGATCAAAATCCAACTACCAAACTGATTTTCTTGTCAATACTAGACCATTAGTTATATTCAAGATCATAGTCTAAGATCTAACCTTTTCTATACCTTACTACCAATCAGTACCAGAAGTTATGAATTTATAAAATAAATAACTTGTTTTTCCATGTTAGTTTGCAGGGATTTGATTGGTATTGCTTTAGGACTTGGAAGTGTGCACCCATGATGACTTATCTACCTGAGATGAAAATCAAGACCTTCAAGTTACGAAGGGTGTCCGTTGACTATTCAGTCATTGGTGCGGAATGCAATGGCCAGTGCGTCAGTCCTAACTTCTGTCAGTTCACGATGTATAGTATCACCGCCAGTGAATGGTGTCGGTGAGGATTTGTGATCACATCCGACCTGGTGGACCCCACTGGACATAACTTCTCACTTCATCTGGTAACTAGTCACAAGTGATCACTAGATAACCGATGACTAGGACGAAACAGCTGTCCTATAAGTCTTCCGTAGTTTTCAGTGGTTCTGTAACATAACTTTCATTTTAGCGAAATTAATAGTATTTGTATCTGGTAAGTGATAGTCACCAGTGGAATTCAAGACGCGCGTTTCGACCTACTTAGGATTCGTCTTCTGACTGTGCCTCTAGCTACCTACTATCAATCAAATACCATCACTTTCACCTGAAAGCACCGTCGAAGTCGATCGAGTATTTCAGTTCCATAAAATCGATTAACAGGAAGTTTCAAAAGGCTGATTAGGGAACAAAGAACGACATTTTCTCGACAACGCTTTTTGTCACTTTCTACAGTTAAACATACATAATAGTTAAAGACTTATTGTTCTGGTTGTCAACATTAGTGTTTTGAATAATATTGAATCAATAATATTGACAGATTATAGTTCGAAAACATCTGTAAGTGATAATATGCATCAGTTTAATACTGAACTGAATATCAAATAAAATTAGGAATTTATAGGTCCCATAGCAGGCTAGGGTAGCATAGGTGAGTGGACCTGTTTCTTTTACGCACAGCTCTGGTTGTTTTAAGTGAATCACAATGGCCTCTACTGTTTGGAGTGTTTGACACATACATTCCTTTGGCAGTTTATTTGGTATTCTCAAGATGATAGAAGAAGACTCTTCAATGCTAGTTTTGTTGTTTGTTTGAACGAGGTGATCTAATATAAGACTGTTGATGGTTTTAACTATTACCTTTATTTAGCCACACTGGTAAGTGTTGCGGATCATGAAAAACTAGGTTCCTGGAGAGACGGCCAGTATATAGCTGGTTGCACAAGAGCCGTTGAACTGATAGATACTATAAGTGTCTAGCCTATGGACTTGCTTTTTCAGTTTCGGAATCACAACCGGTTGTATGTAAAATTTGAATTGCAGGATATTCGAAGCAGTTCCAATTCAATGATTTCATTTTGTTTATTTTCTCATTTTTCAACCCTCCGAAGATATTCTTGATTTTCAAATGCAAACTACAGTAACACCGACACCACCGACAATCTCAAATAACTCAAATTCCAATGGACACGAAGATGATATTACAATTTTATCGCCTAATTCACATATTGCTAATTATTTATGCTTGATATGCTCGTGTAAATTGGCGTCAACAACGGAATTTTTTTTACACCTAACTTTAAAACATGATTGTATAAATTTTCTGGATGGAGAGTATCATTCAGTGTTCAATGACCATTTCAATTGGATTCGATTTGTTAATTATGTTCGAAGAAATGTAAGTCAAATTTTCTGATCCACAAAAATGTGTGTGTGTATGTATTGTATATAGACTTCATTTTAGACAGTTGGAGGTAATCGTCAGGACACCTTAAACTTAGGCTACTTGCTTACTGACTGACTGAGTTTCAACGTGTAGAACTTTGCGGAGAAGTGCACCAGTTCAAGTTGCCACACTCTGTGTAGCACAAAAACGTAGACAAAGCAGAGGAAAAAAGATTCAAAAGAACTTTGATCAGCACAAATGTACTGGAGAAGGAATAGCAGCATGGAAAAACTTGACAGTTTAGTACACATGGGAGATCACAGAGTGAATGCATCCTCTCTATTCAGAAGGATTTTGAGCTATATCACCAGTGGTTTCCAGATATTGATTGTTAGCGTCCCGAGGACTGCAAATAGGTAGTTTACACCTCTTCACGTGGTTGGCTGGAACTAACTGTCAGAGACTTTATGAACTAATGGTATGTCTTGATTTCACCACTCCTAAGTCGTCTCCAATCTAATCCAATGTCGCCTGACATTGCCCATCGAGGAATGCGAATTGCTGGACATATTCAAAACATGTTTTCTAGCCTTCTCAATCGATTCACCCTCACGACGTCATTGATTGACTTTCCTTCATCATCTAACACTCTACTCCTAACTTCAATACTACTCACCATATTATACCATATTATAGAACGCAAATATCTGTGGTCAAAAATAGCTAGTCGTTTCATATTTTCCAATTTCATTGGCCATGTCTAACTCATAAAGGGGGACAGAGCTAACTGGTGTGCAGTAAACATATCATTTGATCGATATCTGGATATCATGTTTACTCCAGAGATGACACTCACTCGAAAGATGTATCTACGATTTCTTGAAGGAACTGATGCATTTTTCAAGTTATACTCAATGGTATAGTCAAACACTTTACCACTGCTTGGGGTGACGGTTGTCTCTCCTTAGAACAGTTATACGTTGAACTGACGATCGAATACGCAGAGCAAGACAGTCCGCACCGAAGCATTGCAGACCCGGCCTTTGATATCCAGGCTAACGTCACGACGGCGTCAAAGGTGGCTCAAGTTGACGTATGCTACCCTAGCCTTCATGATATGGTTGGAAATCCCGTCCGTCATACCTCCGCCAGCACTCACACAACTACCCAGATACACGAACTTATCGACAACTTCAAGTAGTTCATCTGGAAGAGTGAGTGCAGGTACAGGCTACTACCAATCTTGTAACAGTATTTGCGCTTAGACGGTGTAAAGCAGATGTCATACTTACAGATACAAGTTCTAGCCATGTTGTTGTTCACTTTGTTGTATCTTAATGAAACTGAGATGAAACATTATAGAGAGTAACATCAGAACACTAATATGTGTTTATTTTAGAGATTGATAAATTGCTGAAAAGAGATTTCTTCACAGAATGCAAAACAAACGGCAAGTAGTTCAAGGTTTTTCAGTAACATATTCCTTAAAGTTGAGTTGTCTTAATTTTAATATTGAACTTATTTTCCCGCATCATGAAAAGCGTTCATCTTAAAAAATGGACGTATTTCTACCATGGGCATAGATTTATGGACTGGTAAATACATATATTGCTGTTTGACATATTGATGCAAGCACTTGCCCAAGAAGTTGCAGGTTGAAATGCTGACTTGCGTAATCCAGTATATGTTACCGTGTATTAACTATGCCTTTTGACGTCATATATATATATATATATATATATATATATATATATATTTCAAAGTTGCCTAGTAGTAATATATATTCTCATGTGTCTATTTAATCATGAAACCAGTTCATTAGTTTTATCAATTATGGTAGGATATAGTGCAAGCACTATTCGTTGAGAGCCTTTTAACCTTTCCACACATCTTAAACTATCCAATTCACACTAACCAACTAACTACCGAGGTGTATCTGATGGTTTCACACATTAACTATTTTCGCACACAAGCAACAACAGAGCTGACATATTTGTGTCTATCGGTGATTTCTTTTGCCCATGGTTTACCTTGACTGAGTTCGTATTTTAACGGAGTTCTCGATATTCTGGCTGTATTGGTTTCGGCTCTTTACTCTCAACCAATATTACAAGGAACCAAACAATGAACTCAATTAGTGTGCAAAGTGCCAGAATAAAATTCAAGTCAATAAAGAATATTGAGACAGTATATATTATAGATATACAGATGAGTTATATAAGGTAATGGTTACTTCGGATTATTGTCATAATCTACTGGCAGTTGTTCACCAGTTCTTGAAGAGTCTTTAAATGAAGACGAGGTGTTCCTGTAAGTTCCGAAGAATGCGAATGGGAAGTAGAGAAGAAGGAAGACAGTAGCAATCAGGAGGAAAACGAAGACAAAGAGAGACAGCACGACTGTGTTTTCATTCGAACGCGATTCAACAAAAGTTATGTACAATGTGTCTATTTTTAACATTTGGCAAAAACTGTACAAATTTATTGGTTAGGACTTCACATTGTGTTGCCCGTTTAGTTCTGACTCCGTTTAGGGAGGTTTCGGTATCTCGGTAGCGTCACAAATCATGACACAGTACATGTGGCTTATTGGTGTAGTAGTGTGTGTTCTACGATTTTTCTGACAGTTACATAATTTGGGATAGCATTATTAGAAGGCAGAGTTCATCTGAAAAAGTAAATTGCGTATTTGCTCAATACATTTCACACAATCTGAGCATACATGTTTATTTGTTAAATCAATATGTATGAAAAGTGAATATAATAAAATGTCAATTTAAAGAAACAAAAGGATAAGAGATTTAAAAACAAAAGGGATAACAATAATAATAATAACGCTACTCTTGGTAATACAATCACACGAGGATTACTAAGACAGGTTTAGTCTTAATAGTAAATTGTTTTTGTACACACAGAAGGAGGAAGGCTTCAATTTTACGGATAGTTATCGTCTCAGAGTATTTCAGTGTGCATTCTTGAAAGCTGTTTTAATCTCAGTGCTGTGATTCGTATCAAATTATAAGTGTTTTGCTGTAGACGATATTCGTAGTCTGCCTTGTTTCCTTTATCAAGGTTTCACAGTTCAGCTGTTTTTCAAACCATTTGAGTATTTCGCCTACCCTCAAGTGCTGGAAGTTGCGATAATTCTTCCCAATGTATGTGTGACCGCATACGCACACATGCAAACTGGTATACAATATAGGATGTGATATAATCACTTGATTTGAGTTACAAAACCGCTGGAAATCAGGGAGCACTGATGGTCACTGTTTCGTCCTGATCCCAGGCTCTTCAACAGTACGCATCCATGACCCTACTGGGGATGTGACCCGGTACCTTCAGGTTACGGGATGAGTTTGATGACCAACTGGGACAGAATTCAGTGACCAACCCGTGAATTGTCGAACCAGTTAAATCCCTATAAACGAATACTTTAAAAATAATCACGTGGAGTCTGTCGAGGCTTTCCGTAAAGTATGTTTATAGCTTTTTTGACAATTATAATCCTGGTTGTATTGATAAGTTTTACGGATGACACAGAATTTAGTCTCTCTTTAAAATCTTACTGTAACGGTAAAAGACAAGAGACTTGGTAACGGAATGCTTTTATGGAATTTGATATCTCTACATAGGGAAATTGTGTACAACTTATCTTAAAATCGTCATTTGCACAAATCTTTCGTGTTGGGCGCTACTTCTGCCCTTTGTATTGTGTTTCTTTGTCTTCTTTTTGTGTCTCCCATGTTTTGCTGCAACACTGGTTCATTTGCTCTCTTTGACGTTAAGTCTATCACTCTGCTATTTGATATTTTTGTGCTGATGAACGACTCTTTATATACTACTGATAAATCTTGCCAGTAACACACGTCACACTACTATTATATACTTCTCTGTTGTAAGATAATTTGATGTAGACATTGAAAGTGGAAGACATGAAAAGCCTGGCTAGCTGTCTTTGATCATAAGTGCCTGCGTTCTATCTCCCGTGTTAGGTGGTATAATAAGGTGGGCAATATTGAGGTTAGGCTTCGGTCGAGTGCTAGGTAAGGAGGAAGGGAAATCAATCGACGAGGTTGTGAACCAACTGCATCGATTGAGATAGTTAGGACATTTGTTACATATGCCTAGCTTTCGCTTTCCTCGACTGCGGGCAATGTTAGCTGACTGACATAGGATCAGGTTGGAAAAGAGTTAGCTAGTGGTGGTCAAACGAAAACATGGCTTCATCAGTCAGTGAAATCCACAACAGTTAGTTTAAGCCTGCCATGTAGGGAGGTGTAGATTAGCTTCCTGGTTGGGGTGTTCGGGATAGTAAAAACCAATGAAGGCTGGTGACAATCGGTGATATGGCTCAAAGTCATTCTCAATCGCTGGCGCAGATGCATCCACCTTTTGTGACTTATCCAATAAAATTCTGTTGTTCTTCCATATTACTATTCTTTTTCCCTCAATCACACTTCTATTTATTATCTCTGTTTTGAATCTGTCTTAACTCTCTTCTCTTGCTTTGTGTGCTACATGGTCATGGAGTGTGGCTACTCGAACTGCTGCACATCTGTGCAAAGTTCTACATCTAAAGCAGTCAGTCAGTCAGTCAGATGTTGACATCTTTCTTTTGAGACCGTATAGATTATAGGCTTTGAAAAAAATTAACTGACCACGTAACTGCTGTTGTATATGTCAGGGCATATTTTTCTAGACACTGCTTCATTGAATTGAATCGTATCGTCATATATAAATACAGTTCTATATGTCCATGATTTGTTTGTAAAATAAATTTAACACCTGCTGTTTATTAATTAAAAAGAAACCATCAAATTTACGTGAAGCATTTGCATCAATGGCTTGGAAAACTGATTCATATGAATTACTGTATCCAGTGTTAATGGATGATGAAGTGCTGTCTATTGGTAGGTTTCTGATGGTTACAGATTACTAACTACCTTCTCTATCCCTTCTCCTTACACATTTCTTATACCTTAAAGTATTATACGTTTGTACTGTCTAACCATATATCCACCCATATATGAGGTTGGAAAATGCATCTTTTACTCCTAATTTTGTTTTTTCAATATTAGTGTGTGATAACGGGTGAATTGATTCATTGGTGTAGGCAATTAGTTGGCTTTCAGTTAAATGTCTCCCAGGTTGGAATCTCACTCCAACTATTTCAGCCTAGAGAAAATTGCGGAGTATGTCATTAACTCTCACATAACTGGTGTATATGTGTGATTCAAAATTTGTGTTATGAGTAAACCTATTAACCGCCATAAACCACAAACTTTTATGAGATCGCAAAGCAGTTTTACGTAATTGCTTTTATTGGGTGTGGGTTGTTTTACCATCTTTCTCTCAGTAGATGCTCTTAAGCGACTGATATATATATGTGATTAAGTTTAACAGATCATTTCGTTGGATTATGTGGTATACTGTTTGAACCAAATTATCCGCCTAGAACTTTGGCACAGAAATGTTTCACTGCAAGTTCACACACCTTAAAAGTTCTACCCTGCCCAATTTTGTTCAATTTCTTCATTGAAGTACTAATGTGAGTGGTCTTAAATGACTGTGGCCACATAGGGATCGACCTCTTACCAGGGTACAGTCTTGTCAACTTAGAGTATGAAGATGATACTGTCTTTCTACTAGTTGAAGACACGGACAAAATACAGAGTCTTCTGAACACTTTGAGCAGAAATATTCGAATGTTTGGCATGGGATTCGCCCCTGTCATATGTAAAATGAAGCTACAGGATTGTACTGCACCGATTCCTAGCTGACCACTTTGCTTATATGGGAATTTGTATTAACCCTAGTTAATTAATTTCAGACGATATCTCATCATGGATACAAAAGCCTCATTCTGCATTCTGTCTTCCGTGTTAGGTTGTATTATATACTCAGTAATATTGAGAGTAAGCATCAGTGTTAGGTAAGGTAGCTAGATCGATTGATATGGCTAGGACAAGTGTTGCAGACACTAGTCATCGCTTCCTTGGACGAGCAGTGTTAACTGATATAATTAAGTTGGAAAAGGTGTAGAGATAGTCAATTCAAAAGCTGGAATCAATCCACGAAGACTTTCACGAAATCCGTCTAAGCCACTTAAGGAATATTGGAATACTTACAACCAACGGTGGGGGGGGGGTATTATGTTGGTATTATAGTTCTAAGTCGTTCTCAATGGCGCGGATACATTCACTCTTTGTAATCTTCCAGATTTATCAAGTTCTCATGTATTTCCATGTTACTATTTTTTCTCTCGTACGTTTCTGTTCATTATATTTCTTTTTGATTTTTTCTCTCTTCTTTATCTATTTGTGTGTGTTACATGGAGTGTGGCAATTTGAACTGGTTCACATGTGTGCAAAGTTCTATACGTTGAAACTTAGTCACATTCAGTCTTCGTGCAAGAATACTTAGAGAAACAAAGAGAAAATAAATTCAAAGAAACTATTATTAAATAGAAATGTGTACGATAAGTTCATCGAAAGTAATGAAACTTTGAAAGAATTTGAAACATCAGTAGAAATACATCTGTGCCGTTGAGAACAATATTACGTTAAGACATCAACACTCTTCATCTATTTATTTTTTTCATCTCAAAAAAAACACAGTCAGGTAGTCTACAACCTCTTCCTCTACGTAGCTCAAATTTACAGTGAAGTTCTGTTGTATAATTGAAAGTGTTCTCTCACTTATTTTATTTCACTTCCATATTGGATGGAGTTAGGCTAAGTGAAGAGATAGCGTCGTGCATTTCGCGCTATTTGAGACTTGTCGTTTGGATGTACCTGCATCCTTCAGTGGGTGATGGTGTTCCCTTTACTGAGACCTGGACTCTGCACGCATGGTTTCAAACTCCAAAGCATTATTCACTAGGTGACTTGCAAAAACATTATAACTCACTGGTGTAGGGTTTGCAGATACCTCTGGATGACGAATCCCGAAAAGGACGAAATGTGCATTCTGGATTCCACTGCCAGTCGTAATCCACCAAATAACATCATGGTAATCCTCATACATCCTTAGATAGTCCGTGTTAGGATGTGACATGTCAACAGACGCCGAACACTTCACAGTCCAATGTAATCAATCAACGAGAAATACAAAATTAACCATGACAAATGATGTGTATGTCTTGTTGTCTGTATTATATCGAATCTCTTGTAAAGATTCACTTATTGAGCTGTAATTCTTCTTCTGGAAGTCTAGATATTAATATATGCGTATGTTTTATTCACAACAACAAAGATTTTTGGATTTGTCAAGTATCGGTTTTCCAACGGTTCTCTAACTGATGTCAGTTCATGATAAAATCCTCCAACCAATTTTCGGATTTGTCTAATTTTGCTGCTTTTGTTTTATTTCTATTGAGTGTTGTAAGCGTTATTATTCCAGGTTGGATATTGTATTGAATGTTTTCGCAGTCGTTATTGTTCAGATTCCTTCGCGGGCTAAAGATCCTGATGCTTCATCAAAACATGCCATCAGCTGACGAATTCTTTAATTGTGTTGGTTTAAGTCAGATGAAGAGGTGTAGACTGCTTGACTGGAGTCCTTTAGAAGCTAAAAACTATCAATTCCCTGGAGGAATGTTGATGACATGGCTGAAAATTGCTCATAGTTCTTGTACATTCTTACCTATTATGCTTTTTCTGCAATTTTTCTCTACCCTTATATGTTCTATAAATTGTTGCGCGCTCTCGTGTGAAAGTTGTGCATTGAATATGCGTTTCAGTTCTATCCTAGTTGTTTTTGAACTTCTTTCCCGATTTGAACACTGTCTATTAAACTGTATACTTCCACTTTACTTTTGTAACAATAATGATAATAATAATAAATTTCCAGTGGTCCTTTAGCTGATATATATAATTTAACTGGAAACCAATCAAATCCCTGCAAGGCGACACTTGAAAATTGATCGAATGCTCACTAGTGACAAAATCAAGAGATCTGTTATTGTTGTGTGGCATAATTCAGTATATTGCAGCATATATTTTTCTCGTGTTTTAAGTAGTGAACAAATATTGTGGCTAGCATTAAAAATCTCAGTGAGAAATACGATTGATTTGCTGGGTGGTAGGGTTTCTTAACAAATTTGTAGAAGGAAATAGAGATAAATCGGGTACACTCTGAAGAGATTGTTGGGTGACATGCCAAGCACCACACTCTCAAGTAGGAGGAGGCGAGCATCGAGTTCGGTGTGCGTTCGAAGGTGATATAAAGGAGATAAGAGCTTATGGGAGTCTTGGAGCCAGCTAAAAAGAACACAGTAGAAACCAGGATGAAACTGAGATACGCTGTTGATGTCCCCACCATGTTACAATCGGAACACAAAGGAATAATAGGTAATGACTGTCTTTTTCTCCTGGGGGTTATTCGCTTCTTTCATTGTTAAACAATTTAACCCCAAATCAATAACCATTCATTGGGCTAGTAACATTGTTTCATTCCTTTTTCTCTTTTTTTTCAAAGTTTATTTGTATTTTACAACAGTAAAGTACATCACACTGAAGACTAGTTGTTTTCAAAGAAGGCGAAGTCCCACTAACACTAATACTCTTCTTAATTTCACTGCATATATATATGTATATAATACTTTATTCCTTTACGTTCCTAGTGGAACACAGGGCTTCAAGCTGGAGCTTTGAAGTTTCGGTAGGAGTGGTTTATATTTTTACGGGATGGAGTTGTTAGCCACAAGCCCAGCGTTTCCTCTTTACTGACTTTACTACTAGCTTAGCGAGGTTTAGGTGTGAGTCGGTCGAGGAGCAATCCTCGGACCACGTGCTTGGTTGGCGAGCGTTCTACCATTGAACCACCGATGCTACTACCGATTAAATGGCTTAGTGAAGCCGTTGGATTGGTGTCGTTGCAATGGCTTTGTCGCTCGACTCATGCTGAGAAGCCGACCTAACTTGACTGTCCAGAGGAGAAGTAAAAGTTGTAACAAGATTTCCGTTGGTGAACCTACGGAAGAATCATTACAAGATTTCTCATAAAAACCCTTGTGAAATATGGCTATTGTACTGGTGTGCTGCGTCATGCCATTAAAGGTATTGGTCGACTCCTGTCCAGTCAGTTGGCACTTAAGGATGTATGCCCCGAAGATTAATTTCACTGGCAACTCTATAATTAATAATAATAGCTTAATATAATTTTTCAATACTTAATTGAATTGCATTGTATAGATTCATACTGCAATCTGTCTATAAGTGTTTGGTTTCATTTACTAACATAGAATGTACTACAGTTGTCGATCAATAAATTTAGCCTGTTAATACTACTACTACTGATCATAAAAGCATCTGTATATAACTGTCATGCCTCACTGAATGTATGAATACTTACCGCCAAATTAAAACTAACTTTTCTAAATATTAACTCGAAAAAAGTTTTTTCAAAAGTAATATCGAGTTGTTTTTCTTAAAAATACAAACATTTTAATTTATATTTTATCAACTTTTTCCTGACCGGATAGCTGCTACCTTGATGTGGTTGTGGGGCCTGCAAATCGAGATGATCCAACGAACTACACTGGCTAGACCTAATGTTGCTACAGGTCCTACCATGCTAGAAAGATTGTTTGGATAGCGGTTAAACGAAAAGCAATTACCATTATAGTGTTAATTGTTTACAATACGTTGTGGGGGGGGGGTTCTGTGGCGAACAGGGATGCAGCAGCAGTATATTGTTTCCCTCAGATGACCACCAGCAAGCCAAGAATGTTACGAATCCGTTCTGGAAAGGGTGGGTTAGAAAAGATCGATCCCGAAAATTGTACATCCGAACTTATATTGCGATGGCCCGTATTTGCTTGCGAAAAGATCTTAATACGGACGCAATTCCAAAATCTACTTCAAACAGGTTCTGTGTGTGTGTGTGGTCGACCTGCCTCAAACAGCTGTTCTTTGGCTTTGTGGTTATGCAGCACACTAATGCTTCTCTTCTGTTTCAGGTACTCCAAGAAGGAACCAACTTCCATGGTGTGTCTGTTTCCGGAAAGTAATAACTGCTCATACTCATAAACACAGAGAGCTTCCCTGACTATCTCCTCACCTTATTATTAACAGTTTATGGCATAGGTTGAAAATTGATTAATATTGAATCATATTTGGTGAGTGATGATGATATCAGGAAGTTCGTAACACCTACGGCCTGGAAACCTATAATGATGATATCTGTCTTAAAGTGAAGTCAACATTCACTAGAAAGGGGGAAAATCTGAAAGCAGGCGTCTATGCTAATTCCGAAGAACAAAAATTCCATCCTATCTACTATCATGTTACACAACTTATTCAAGGTGAATATTAATAGTCTCATTTTTAATAGTGAATTAAGGAAGAAAAGAAATAATAAATTATTGATTTTTAACCATATCTGGTCTGTGTGTGTGTGTACAAATTACTTTTGCACAATAAATAACTAACATTGTGTGTTCCGTTTTAATATTGAAACTTTTGCTTGATGCATATACATGTATATACACATATTGCTGTTTGTTTTTAGTTGCATGTTTATAGTATATGTATATATATATAATGCAGGATTCATTTGTGTATTTAAACTTTTCAGTGCTTGTTACACACACATATATGTAAGGGCCGAAATTAAATTGGATGGAAGGGGATTCCCCACCTGGGTTAGAAGTAGTGTGTGTGTTCAAGTCATTGAGACAAATTTTCAATTCCGTAAATGGCAGTAAATTGTTTCATTTATCAGGCTTGTTAGAGATATTATAATTTGTTTTATTATGGCTAATGATACTACCTAGTAGTAGTAGTAGTTGTTTAGGCTTTTATCGACTAAGGCGGAATTTGAAACTAGAAGTGCCTTGTGTAAAAGTGGTGTACTTAAGACAGAAGCCAGCGCATCGCATTTTGATACATGTATAAGAAACACATATGAGATTGTAGCTTGTTAATGAATGAGGGCTAGAGATTGTTAGCTAGTGAATTTGAATCTTGAAATAGGTTATTCTCTGGTGCTAGTGATGAGTTTGAAAATCGGATGAGACAGTTCTCAGTATTTTTAAAAGTTTCGTTATTTCTCCAGCATATATGTATACATATAATGCAGTTATTTATTTATTTTATTCCATTGAGTTCCGACTGGAACTTAGGGCTTCAAGCTTGAGTTTTGAAGTTTCAATAGCGTCGGCGTTTAGTTTTTACGGGATGAGGTTGCTGGTCTCATGCCTAACCTTATTACCGGCTAAGCCAGGTTTAGCAGTGCGTCGGTCGGGAATCTAACCCCGAACCATGTACGTGGTCGACGAGTATTTTATCACTGAACCACCGATGCACATTGGTAGAATGGTAATAAATTCCTCGATATTGAGTAACAAGGACTCGAACATCAGGAGGAATAAGTTTAGTCCATGTTGTAAAAGGAGCTGCTTACTGATGAGCATCAGCAAACTTGAAAAAGGTTGAATAAGCGAAACTACATTATGACTGACTTGTAGTACAATACACTACCTTAGTACTGTATTCATGAGTTTGGTAATTACCAAATAATCTACTGTGGATAAAACTTACCTTATTCTTTTTGAATCAGATGTCTGCATAATTGACCACTGGGCAATATAATGCTGGTTAGCTAATTCGGAAAACACTGCATTATCTACATTTTGAGTCTTTTGTGGAATATTAATCACTTTTAAATGCGCAGATGTCGTCACAAATCAATGAGAGTTAGAAAGTCAATCGTTCAACCAGTTACTACTACCCCTGTCGTAGGCTGAAAGTTCTCGGTGAGATTTCTGGTGAGGTCATATGTGTATGCGTACCACTGAAAAGTCTCGAACTTGGACGAAATATCCCATCATGATTCCCTTAATTTTGTTGGTTCATGATGAAATGAGCATCCCTTGCTTACATTCCGAGTGGAACATAGCGCTCCAAGCTTGAGCTTTGAAGTTTCAGTAGTAACAGTGGTGTTGTTTTTTTACGGCGTGGAGTTGCTAGCCCACCCTTTCCTCTTAGCAGCTAGTTAACTAGTATAGGTTTGTTCGAGTGTGTCGAGCGGGGATCGAACTTGGACCACATGCGTGGTTGTTGTAATATAAATAAACTCAATGGCATATTTATATGAATACTGACTAATATTGTGAAACTCGTCATTTCCGAATAACACGGTTCAAGTTGAGAAATCACCAAAGTTTCCTTTAATTATCTGAGGTATTCAGATCACAATATGTGATCTGCCTGATCTGCAGATAAATGTCAATCTAGGAAGCATGTGAAATAACACAGTGACTTCATACTAATGATTGATGTGAGTAGTGTGTAGTGATAGTAGAAAGATCTAAATGCTATACGTCCGTTTCACTTTTTTGCGGTTCATTGTCATCAGTAATGTACATGGTTTGACTCAGCTCATGGAGCTGAATTAGTTGCAAACCACTGGAATTCCGGCAACCAAAAACTGTGTAATTTGGAAATATGAGATAAGTAGTGTTACAATACTGTTGAAGGTCGAACATATATCTATTAACCGAAAAAGACAAATCCTATATGAATAACTTACAGTAACGTGAATAAAACTTGTTTTTCTATGATGTTAAACAAAATGAGCTGAGAAATTTAGATCACAGAAGAGTGCATTGCTTATATATACATATATATAGTCCGCTCACTGACTGGTTTTCAATTGGTTAGAACACGCTCATCATATCTAGGCCTATACATGAGTCACACATATAACGTAATGGCCAATGATATTACATGGTTGTCTAGACAGGAGTAGTTAGATGAAGCGGGTTTCGAACCTGCGATCAACTGGATGACTGAAATCGGGGTTAGCAAGTAAGACTTCTCAGTTTACCAGTCATAATTCAATTGGCAAAGTCTAGCGTAAAAAATCGTGATTAACACTTGTCAGCCACACACGCACTTAAAAACATTCCAGTGAGTAGTAGTAATTTCCCCCCTCCGTCGTCGAATCGAAACCAGACATCACTATATCAGACACTATAGTTTTGGTCATTGGATCGATCACAAAACTACGATAGGCGACGGGAAATTATTTATGCTCCTCAATAGTATGGTTCATGTTTGTTTGTTCATGATACAGTAATTTCAAGATTCCACATGTGGAATGATCCTGATGACTTGATGATTCCCGACAGAAATCCCACTGTTATTATAGTCGGACAGTTGAAGACATGTAAATTTACAGTTTATTTTAGATATGTTTAGTGTAACTTTTGTTCTGAGGGTTATTTGGTTGGGAATTTACCCCCCCCCTTATCCTCTCTCCCTTACTGTCTTCTACAGATATGAGTGAATTAATTATACCTAACGGTAATTCAACGGATTCAGAATATGATTCAGATGGTTGGCAAGAAGTTACAGTGCCTGATTCAGCTTCACCAGAAAAATATATCTGTTTAGTGTGTGATGTACATTGTGATTCTGTAGTTGGATTTTTTCGTCATCTCACTATACAACACGAATGGGTTAACCTATTAGATGGTGAAGGCAGAAGTATATTCAATGATCAATATGATTGGATTCGTTTTGTAAATTTTGTGCGTAAAACTGTAAGTCGTATATATATATATATCATTTCAATTAGTGATATCCATTTTTGTTGGTGGAGGCTGGATGCCCATTTTCCTTTATTTTTTGTCTAATATCATCATAGATCTACTACTGGGTGTGACCCTGATTAACTCTAGCAACTTGATACCAGGACAGAGTTTCTTTGATTTGTATAAAGTATACAGATAGTATGGTTACGTAAACAGCCTTCTAAACACCTTGAGTAGAAGTATTAGTATGTTCGATATATGTTAGTGGATGAGGTTGTAAAGCTGCATTAATTAAGATGCCTAGGATATGCATATATGCAAGCCACCTCTTGCTATGTTGACTGACCTTAGAATTATGATGTTGGTAAAGAGTTCGAGATAGTCAAACCAGAACATGTCATGAATCCATGAAGTCTTTGACTGTCGATTTAAGCCAGTAAGGATCAGTAGACTGTCTAGCAGGGTTTGTTGAGTCTCTAAGGACCAATGTTTGGAGATTGTCTGCAATATGATTCAAAATCGTTCTCAATGAGACAGACGCATTTATTCTTTCTGATCTTTCAGATCCATGGAATACTCATTATTCTGTATGTACCTACTCTTTTTCCCGTATATTCTTGTTTATTGTAGTCAAGTTGTTGTGGCACCTGATGGATGGACTATCATGCCAGTTATCTATTGTAATTAACAGTGTTATTGGCTCAATCAACCTGTAGTCCGGCTTCAGCTAGTTTGAATTCTACATAATTTGTAGATTTCCATTTAGCTTCAGTTATCTGCTTACTTACTCACTCATATTATTATTATTCATTCATCCCTTTTGTTCCGAGTTCAAAATAGGGCTGTAACATCACTTCCAACTGACTCCGCGATTGCCCAGAAGCTTTCATTTCCCGTTAACATGATCTTCTCCTTGTCATCCTCAAGCCCACCGTTCAATTGATAGTTTTCCATTCTGGTTCCACTCGAGGTTATGGTGTGTGATGTCAGTCAACGTCTGCTTAGAGTACGTTCAATCCGTCTCCATTTCCTTCCTCATTAATTGAGTAATAGGTTTTTGGTTGGTTCTCTGCCTGCCTATCAGAGTTCCTTGCTGCTTGTTCTTTCTAGTCATGCAACTGATCTTCACTACCATCGAACGAAGAGAGTTGTTTGTTGGTGAAAGTTCACAACAGGATGCTGCAAAATGATTTTATTTACGTGCATGATAAATGTCTAAACCGTATGGAAGCACTGACTGACCACCTTGACCGTAGTGTTATTAATTCAAACCTTGTTTACTGAATTTCAAGTCAATACTTCTATATATTTGACCGGAACAAGCTAGATTCAGGAAAGGTCAAATTGCAACTCTACGCATCAACATCGAACAAAGTAGAGAGTGGCAATCAAACCTTTCTCCACCTCAACTTCATCAACTTCGAAAAGGTTTTCACCAGACAGCGTTGACCGAGAAGTAATTTAGAAACTACTTCAACACTACGGCGTACCTCAAGTATTTATTAACCTGACTGAACAGCTATATGACAATAGCAAGTGTCAGGTGATCCACAAGGGAAAACTCAACCGGGCGTTCGGAATGCCTACAGAAGTAAGACACGGTTGTATATTATCACCGATGATATTCTCAATTGTGGTGGACTGGATTATGCGTCAGACTTTGAGTGGGGAGTGATGAGACAGGAGTACTCTGGACCACCGTTAAGGAGATTCTAGAAGATCTGGATTTCGCAGATGATACATATCTAATGTCACATAAACTCGAAGACTTGCAAGCGAAAACCAACAAACTGGCTGAAGAAGCAGGCAGCGAAGACAGGAGTCCAAGAAGACGGAGGTGATGAAGATAACCAACAAATAGCACCAACTATTATCAACGAAAGAAACTTGAAAGAGGTTACATCCTTCACTTATCTAGGAAGCATTGTTTCAACCACAGGCGGAACAGATGGAGACGTTAAAGCAAAAATCGGAAAGGCAAGATACACCTTCATCAACCTGAAACCAGTTTGGAAATCTTCTGCACTCACCCAGTATAAACAACAACATTTCGGATTTTCAACACCAATGTGAAGTCAGTTCTATTGTATGGGTCAGAAACTTGTACTGCGCGTCACAAAATGCATTTCCAACGGGTTACTGCAGACTTTTATTAACAGCTGCCTTCGGTGGCTATCTATTGAAGATGAAATGGCTGGCCAGATAGAATTAGAAACAAGAAACTATGGGAACAAGCTAACCAAGAACTCATCGTTCAACAAATATGTAGGAGGAAATGCAGATGGATTGGGCACACACTGAGGAGAGGAGACCGTTGAATGACATCGCACACAATGCAGGCCATCAATCGAGTGGAACCCGAATGGGAAGCGACTAGTGGGGCAATGGTGCGAGGGTGACATGGAGAAGATCGTGTGAGGAGGAGGAGGAGATGACAGATTATGGGCAATCTTGGGTGCAGCTGAAGAGGACAGCAGAAAGTAGAACAAAGCAGAGGTGTGTTTTGAAGCTTTATTTTCCACTCGGAATCCAAGGGAACAATAATACTTATATATATTATGGTTTAGTGATAATTTGTAAATTAAGTCGTAATTACCTGAGCCTCTTTTTTGTCTCATCAGTAAGCATTTGTGTTGTTTTTAGAAACCAACTGATTTACGTCAAGCGTTTTTTGATATGGTTTGGAAAACAGATTCCCTTGACTTACTTTATCCTGTCTTAACAGATGATGAGGTTTTATCAATTGGTAAGTGTTTCTCTTTTTCCTTTTGCTTTGATTTCACTCTATGCATATATATATATATATATATATATATATATAATCAGCTATAACTGTACAAATTCGAAACCTCAGTTTTATAATTTTCTCTATTACTTCGCATTCATCATAGGGGCAGTAGAATTTTCCAGATGTCTGGGTGGACAAGTGTTGAGTGATTCTTATTGTACGTATTTTCAGTTGTCTTAATAAATAACAGAGCCTTTATTACCTTCACTTCGCTTAGACAGTAGTGAGTAAACTCGGTGAAGAGGGAGAGAGATGGTTGGGCATTCGTCTGGGTAACCACACCCCGTTAGAGACAACAACACGGCCACTGCAACTTCAAAGCTCAAGTTTAAAGTCTTATATTCCACCCGTAACGCCGATGGAATGAAAAATAAAATCATTTGCTTATCACAACCAATTATTAGTAAGTAGGTTATTCTTAAAGTAATAATTCCAAACAAATAAGGAACCTTTGAAACCTTGCTTAGGATTCTTATCAAATTCAGGAATAAGCGTGGCTGGCATTGAAACTCACTTATAAACAAATTGTTGCGGTTAAAGGATCATATACAGCCTATTAAACAAAATAATTTATTTTATCTGTTACCTTGTGCAATGATTGTCAAGTCAAATTAATACGACAGAGTTAATCAGACTAGCGGAGCACAAAAACCTAGCAATTTCTTCATTATTTGACCGTAACAAAATAAGAAATCTAAAAAAATGACTCAGCTATAATAGCACTACATGCAACTACTCACAGCCATACAGTAGGATAGGATAAGATGACAGTCTTAGAATCTTACATAATAGAGTGGACGGAGAGATTGATAATGGAAGCCTTATCTATCGAATATATTGGGAGCACGTGCAATAGGAATGATTCAACACCTATTGCAGACATTCGGCAAATTCTACTACCCTTAAGACTAATGGGAAGGAATAAAAAGAATTATAATACTCAAGTTTCAAAGTTATGTAGTTATAATTGATATGATTATGAACAATAAACTGTGTTCAAAACGTCGTCATCCCGTTTATTATACTGTTTCAGTGTGATACATCCAATAAACAAATTAATATGGAATTATGTACTACCACAGTGCCAGAGTTTTACTCGCATACTACCAGTAGTATTATTTCATGTGTTGTTAGAATGAATCCATTTACTTAGTTCCACCCTAATTGTTGTGTTAAAGGGTTCAACATGCCACATACTACTTATCCCAGTTAAAGTAGGTGTAGTAGTGATAGTATTCCAATCTAGGAGCGACTAAGTGAAAGTCAAATGCTAGAGTAAAAGTACAAATTTTTTACTTACCATTCGAGAACATGAATTGTTTTTGGCAGTTCAATGGTCCAGTATATTATCGCCTACATTAGCCCACTTACATATTATTAATTATCACTATTCCCTTAGATTCCGAGTAAAACTTAAAGCTTCAGCAACACACCTCCATTTCATCCTGTTCTATGGGGTCCTTTTTAACCCTCATCTCCTCCTCGCACAATCTCTTTCATATCACCCTTGGATTCACGCCTAGCTCGTTGCTTCTCATTCGAGTTTCATCCAAACATGTTGAGTCTAGAGATTGGACCAGTTTCTTTTGAACACATAGCCCTGACTTTTCGATGCACTTGGCGAGGGCTTCTGAAGTACAAAATAATAGCAAATACGATGTCTTTGGTAGATTTTTGTTTACATTGTAAGTTATTCTGAATAATGAGTCAGTTGAGATGCCGTAGCAGGTGATGACGCTTCTGACTGAACGGTTGCTGCCTCTTTGAAGCCATGCTGGGTAGTATTCACCACCACATGCCGAAAGGACGCGCATAGAACGACCTATCTACCTAGCTCCACAGGAGCAGGTGAATTGATATATGCATAGCGGAGTGGTCATATGCTTTCACACCATGGAACTTTTATATCAAGTCGAGAATTATTATCACTTTCAATCTTTCTTCGTTATTATGACGAATTAAATAATGATTTTAACTATGTAAAATTATGTATTAAAATGTGATTGTACAGCTTTTGAGGATGAAGAGATATCTTTTTGAGATTCTTGCTCATTTCCCTCTAATGTTCTGATGAGTGTGACTCGTTGCTTTCGGTAGACCAGGATTTTGAACATTGATTCAAGTACTGAAGTTTAGACAGTCATTACTGTAATGATGCTCTAACCTCTCTGTATACTAGTTATTTGTCGACATTGTTAATCAAGTTGGTGTGTTTTGTTGTCTGGATCATGGTTTAATGACACAGCTTTCATACTGTCATTCTACACCACATTTTTTTAACTGACTTCATCATTGTGTAGTGAGTTTTCTTAGGAAAACGTTTTTGGAAACACCCAATCATAATAAAAGTTATTACAAAAGAGAGGAAGTTATGTCAGTTTGTTATGTTAGCTGAATCTTCGCATGAGAATGATTATTATTATTATTGTTCCCTTGGGTTCCAATTGGAACATAGGGTTTCAACAGCACATCTCCACTTCTATTTTCTGCTGTCCTCTTCAGCTGCCTCCAAGATTGCCCATAATCTGTCATCTCCTCCTCCACACACGATCTTCTCCATGTCACCCTCGCACCATTGCCCCACTAGTCGTTTCCCATTCGGGTTCCACTCGATCGATGGCCTACATTGTGTACGATGTCATTCGACGGTCTCCTCTCCTCAGTGTGTGCCCAATCCATCTGCATTTCCTCCTACATATTTGTTGAACGATGAGTTCTTGGTTAGCTTATTCCCATAGTTTCTTGTTTCTAATTCTATCTGACCAGCCGTTTCATCTTCGATGAGGTTAACACTAATGCACGCTTGATGGGGTTTCCCATTCGGTTTTGATTAGCCCGAAACTGGTACTTTCAGGAAGGCTCATACATTCATTTCGGAAACGTTGATTTCCAAAACTAACAAGTGAGGGGGTTGCTATAATTACAAATATATAATTTCAGTAGTCATACAAATAAGTATCATAGACTAATTATATACTGCAACATTGGGCTGATTAGTGAGCGGCAGTCGTTGTGCTGAAATCTGATTGGTTGTTTAACTGATTAATCTATTGGCAATTAATATTTGTACAATTTAAACTGACTGGTAGGCTGTTGATATAGTTACCCCTGAACAAATGATACATCCACTCACTGGAGAGTTCCAAAACGAAGTCACACACACACACAAAAGGCACACACTGAAGTTGTGCTGTCTAGATGGCAAAAAGTGGAAGCATCACACAATACCCAAAACGGAAAGCTACACATTCCTCCTCTGCAGTCTATTCCACTTTTCAGATTGTTTTCGTATAATTTTTTCCTTTATTTTGGTTTCCTATCATCTTTTTTTCAACTTTTAGATATTGAATCATATTTGGTAGATAAAAGCCAAAATGAACAAATTGTTAATGGAACAGTGCTATCAAATGAATTAACTGCTGCTGCGGCTGGTACTACTAATTTCAGAGATCTCATTATTGAGCGACCATCACAGGAAATGTCACGACTAATAGAAGAGAATAGAACGTTACGTGCACAGCTGAATAATTGCAAGTATGTATGGTCGGTGTGTGGTTCATATATTCTAACTTTATTATATCTTAGAGTTCTGGAAGGAACACAGGGCTTTAGTGGAAAATCTTTATTTCACTTTTAATTTTCTGTAATCCTCTTGATGACTACCCACAGGCCCTAGACTTTTCCTTACACCATCTCCTTTATATCATCACCCTTGGACTCAGTTCCTCTAAGGTTTGGGGCAGGCCTTCCTGTCATTTGAAAGTCTCCTCAGAGTATATACAATCCATCTCCATTTACTTTTCCATATGTCTTAGGTGATAGGTTCTCGGTTATTTCTTCGATGCTTTTCAAAGCTCCACGCTGCTTATCCTTCCTGATCAGTCATCTGATCTTCACTATGCAGCGAAGCAAGCTGTGAATAAAAGTCTATTGACAACCTGTTGGACATGCTTTGGGTGACACGTGCACCAAGTCTCTCAAGCATATAGAATCAATGAATTGACATTAGTGTGGAAGATCAGGACCTTGTTCCTTATGCTGAGTGCATCAGATTTTCTCACTGGTTTCATATTAATGTGAAGGTTTGTCTGACTTTTCCAATGGTGGCTCGCTGGCTTTGACATCGTCATCCATGCCGCCGGCTTGCAGTTTCATAAGTCCTTAAAATTAGTGGCTTTTGAAGTTATCAATCACACACTCATGGTGCTTTGCGTCGCATTTCCCCACTCTCTTTGTGAAGGTGGAACTTTCAACAGCTGCTAACTCTAAAATTATCAGGTAGTTTGGGGTTGTCAAGGTCATTTGAAACCTATATACATGTTCAGCATCCCAGTCAAAAGTTCTGTTTTTGTTTCAGGTAGTAAAATCTAGCTAGCTGTCTTGTGAACGATGAGCCTTCCCTCTTGTTTTCACCTTCTACATAGTACTGTTGTTTTTGTGATAGATAGTAGTGGTACTTTTATTTGTGACATTGGCTTCAAATAACTCTCTCATTGTACTAGGTTGTAGTATATCATTATTATTAGTATTATTGCCTTGTGTTCCGAGTGACTGACTGACTTCTTTCAACTCAGAACTTTGCAGAGATGTGCAACAGTTCGAGTTGCCACACCCCATGTAGCACAAAAAGCTAGAGAAGAGAGTAAAGATAGATTCAAATCCGAGATAATAAACAGATGTGGGAAAAGAAAAAATTAGTAATATGGAAGAACAATATAGCTTTATTGAATATTATAAATCGCAAAGAGTGAATGCATCTGCGCCAGCCATTGAGAACAACTTTGAGCCATATCACCAATTGTCACCAGCCTTCATTGGTTTTTACTATCCCGAACACCCCAACCAGGAAGCTAATCTACACCTCCCTACATGTCTGACTTCAAAGAACTATTGTGGACTTCATTGACTCATAAAACCATGTTTTCATTTAACCACCAGTAGCTGTTTTCCAATCTGATTTTGTGTCAGTCAGCTAAGATTGCCCGTTGGTCGGTGAGGAAGGCGAGGGCTAGGCATGCGTAACACATATCCTAACCATCTCAATCGCTACATCTGGTTCACAACCTCGTCGATTGATTTCCTCTCCTTACCTAGCACTTGACCGATGTCTACACTCAATATTGCTCATCTTATTATACCACTTAACACACATGGGAGATAGAACTCAGACACCTATGATCAAAGACAGCTAGCCAGGCTTTTCATGTCTTCCACTTTAAATGCTCATGTCCCAGTCACAGCCATAAAGGAGGACAGAGCGGACTGCTGACTTCTATTTCATCCCATCTTTTACTTGATGTAATTCTAATGTGCCTTTACTGGCTAATGCATACTAAAAACTAATGAAGTTATAATTGTAGAGCCTGAAGAAGAATTTCATAGTAACAACTGTTAGCTCTAACTATTTTTGTTCTGAAAAAAATGTTGAATGAGGTGTAACGATATTGAGCAGAATATCTGGTCAGTTTTAGGTAGGTTTAGGAAAAGATTGAGGTTAGGTTTAGGCCAGGGCAGTTTAGGTTACCCTAATTATGGGCAGATTAGAGTTACAGTTAGGTTAGAGATAGAGATTGGGGTGATGACTGAATTGGAAGACTAAATTTACTTTTCAGAGCCATGAATCTTTCCGTCATCGGTGCATTCGCAGCATCTGGGTGTTTAAAATTTATATATATATATATATATGAATTATAACCTATTTAGTTTTGTCCTTCCTACTGATATGATGATTAACCTTATTTTCAGACTTCTACTTTCAAATATGGCTAAAGAGCCAGTAAGAACAAAATCATCTAGTCGTTCACCAGATCGTAAGTCAGATATCATCGAACCGAATGATTCTTCGTATTTTGGATCTTATGGTCATTTTGAGATACATGGTGAAATGATAAGTGAGTTATTGTTTCGTTTTTCCTCCTTATGATGTTAATATTTGTCCAAAACAATATCACATTAATCGGCAGTAGATATGAACTGTTGTCAGCTATTTGAGATGTAGTAGCAAGCTGACAGTGATTTCGTTCTATGTCTATGCTTTTCACCACTTATTTATATTGTCTATTTAGACACAAACTTGGTGCATTATGGGCACAAAACCTCATAGTGTTTGGGGGAGCTGGGATACTGCTCGAACTCCTAGACCGAAGGAGGTGGTTATCTTAAAGCGTCACCCCTTATGTATTGGACTTGAAATTCGATCCACTGGTCAGTAGGGTATTATCAGGAGCTGAGTTCCCATAGTGTCGGTGACCGACACAGATGCATACTTCATTCGATTCTTTCGGATTCTGGAGTCTATGTACACCATAGGATGGGAATTAGGGTTTTCCAGCTGCCTTATGTAGAGCAGTATTCCCATCAATCCGGTTGTAAGCACCAGACATTCGGATCCAGCTTTTCACTTTTTTGAAGGACACTCCCATCGTGTGAGGGTGATGAATAGAACATTGAATCGTTTGTTTGTTCGAACTGGTCTCCATATTGGTTAGAGACAAGAAGGCTGTCATTGATTAATCGTATACTGGTTGGCAGAAGATCGGAGAAATACAATCAAAAGTATTGTTGTACATTATATTAACGTTTATTTACAGACTTTAGCATTGATTAACCATTGTAAATATGTTTCATTATCTCTTAAAGAATAGACAATAGTGTTATCTTACGGCTTTATGTTGATCTGCGTAGGTTACAGTGCATAGTGTTCTGCGTATTAATTAGGCATAGTCTTCTGAAACCAACGATAGGTGCAGGATCTCTGCGATCTGGATATTTGACAGGAGAATAACAAGCGAAAATTAGGGGTATATAAAATAACAGCGAAGTAAAATTCTACTGATGGAAAACTGGCTAACGTTTTCGTACACAATACAGAGTTTAAATATTTTGCTACTGTTGTATTTAATGCATTCATTTCGTGCAATAGTTAATTTTTATATTTGTCTTTTAGAACTAACCAAGTGTAAGTTTTTGTTTGCCTGCTGATGTCTATTAACGAACACTGAATGCACTCCATTAAAGGGAAGAATTATCAATCTTGATCAACAGATTTTCAAGCGTTTGTTCTCAGAGATTTGATGATTGGTTTCAAGATTGTAATCATGAACTAACTTCTGTTAGAGAATCCTTGAAAACCACCAGGGAGTATTGGGCAGTTGTTGCGAATTGGTAGAATTTATAATTGACAGACCATTGGACTCCATACCAGGGACTCGATGGTCAACGATCTTGCCTTGTAAAACTTGATGATCTTTGGTTCGATCCCTGGTGGAGGATCATGGTTGCGTACTGTTGAAGAGTCCCAAACAAGGGGAAACAGCTGACTATTACTTCCTAGTTTGCAGTGGTTCTCTAACTGCTATCATTTTGCGATCAGTATTGAATTCACTGATATAATTCAATCAATACCAACAAGGATGGCGTAGTACATGACATTGGTTACAAACTGGTGGTTATTGTTGTTACCGAGTATAAATACGAATGCTAATTTAATATAATGAACGCTGGATTATATCCTGGTCAATTGTTCCCCAACCTGAACTAGCAGAATCCAAAAGACTCACACGGCAGGGTAGGCACTGTGTATTTCCAAACAATTAAGGACAAAGATGTATGCAAGGGTATAAAAACATGGTATACATTCATCCAGTCACACGATTGAATAGTAGGCCTTGACCGCTTGCTTGATTGTGGTTGGTTGGTACCCATCATATGACGTGTGATTTGTTTTTGTATGACAGAGACTAATGAGATAGAATGTGAGTACATGTCACCAGTCAATGTATCCATTCGAGTTCTGTACGTGGTCAGCAATCGTGTGTCTAAATGACTCACCGCTAACATCTGTCATTGCAACACTGGATGACTCGGGTTCAAATCTAAGAAGAGGGACCTCAGTCACTTGGAGAGATTGGAGATACGCCTTGCCGACGAGTAGCCAAACGCATAAAAGGTAGACTCACAGCTTCTTACCGATCACTTCCAACATATCAGAACGTTATTATATGAACGTTATAATCATGCTAAGGAATCGGTTGTTTGCAGTTATGTGATTTTAATAAGTGTGTATATGTGTGAAGTGAAATGATACAGAACGGTATTCATTGTTTTAATTAGTGTATAGGTAGTCCCAACAGGGTCAAAAATTGTATTGTTTAAGAAAGTTGAGTGACTCAGAGAAGTAACATCGTTTTCTCTCCGATAGAACAGATACGCTTTACTGGTTAGTGTCGATAAAAAAGAACCCTAGATTGAAGATGATGTCTCGTCTGTGGCTTTAAGGACAACAAAAATACCTCACACATACATAAATCTCCAATGTACATAATGTTAAGCTTAGTCGCTTACGAAATGGGCTAATCTGATTGGTTTGTCTATAGGGTCAAAGACTGACCACTAAGATGGATTGTAACGTCCAACTCACAACATCAATCTAAATTTGGGATAAATTGGTTTCAGATATCGATTCTAATCTTTTTTTAGAAACTTCGTACATTTATTCCCTTTCATGAATTTGAATAAAGCAAAAACAACGGTTTACGCAGAATGATCATTCGTTTATTTCGTCGTCTTCTCATCAGCTGCATACAGCTTAAAACATTAAGTTTATGTACGGAACAGTTTCCGTATACTTGTAGATGTTTTATGATGTCAGTTGATGTGAGTGTCGGAAATTAATAAACAGTGCGCAAAAGTTATACTTGTATATCTTATACATAGAGGATTCAAGTTTGAGAAAAAATGATTGGATACAATGTCAAAGTTGTGTGATAACTACATGACAGGATGATGAGTAACTAATACGTTAAGTAACAATGTGGTGAGTTCAACTGAAATCATAGAAACAAGATAGACAAGCAATATAACATTATAGTGAAGACAACGAGAGTAAAGACATCCAGTTACCCGGGGCAGGAAAAGGCTAATACCGCTTCTTACTGAACAAATGAATCAGATTTCAGGCTTTTGTTAGCAATTGATTGCCTTGGCAAACTTCAAGAGAAATAAACTACATTGACCATTAGTACTTTTTATAGGATTTCATGTTGTCCACCTCATGACTCGTATCGGCGAGATGCCTGACAATGACACTATAGAAAGAATTTGTTATCTTAAGACGTACATATAGAGAAAATTGAAAGTGTGGTCTTCTTTCTGTTCTCTTTAATTTTTAAATCTCTTCCACATCAATAAGTGCTTCGTGTTTGCAACATATCTAACTAATATTGAATTAGTTGTGTTCACTGAGCTGGTTTAATTACGGAGCTTTCGTTATCCTCCTAGACAACATATTCAGTACAGGTTTTAGTATAAAGTGGACTTATTTGAATTCTCCATGAATGATATAATTTTGTCTCCTGGCAACCACTGTCGTGACTAGTTGGTAATTTACGTCTCTATTGTTCATTTTTATTGACCTGGAATTTGAACTTTCTTGTTATGTGATTTACTTTTTATTAGCTGGTAAATTTGGTCTGTAGTAATGTGTTTGTTAATTGCTGATTCATTTGAGTACTAGGGATTCCCTGGCAGTATTTTTCGTGTTTCCACATTATCTCAGTCAAATTGGTGTCCATAATTATCCACATGCATTGATGTAAAAGAATATATATATCATGTCTTTCTACAGCCAATTTGTGTTCTTGGATTCTGATTCGAAGGGAATACCCACTTTCAATCAACACAACTAATTCAAAATCCTCCACTTGAACTATATCATTTCTCCATTATTTGAATATCTAACTAATAATGATAATAATAATAATTCAGAACAACACAATTAAGCGAAAATATTGTTTTCCTAAGTGATATGATAATTCCAAAATGTTGAATACTGTTCGGTTTATTGTTTTACACATGCTTTTGATTTCATGATTCACACTTTGCTTTGAAATGTTTACAATTTACCTTTCCTTTATCTTTCTTTCTTTGTTTCTTTCTTTAGATGATCGAATACGTACTGATTCTTATGTGAATTTTATTTTATCTAACTCTAACAAGTATTTTAAGGACAAGATAATCTTAGATGTTGGATCTGGTTCAGGTATACTATCTATGATTGCTTCAAAAGCTGGTGCTAAACATGTTTATGGTGTAGAGGCAGCTGATGAGATATATGCAGCTTCACATGAAACTTTAAGGTAGGTGTGTGTGGCATTTTTTATCCCTTAGTACTGCACTGATTATATTATACTGTTGCTATATATAAAATAACTTAGATCGATCGATATTTTGATTTGTAAGGCTTTTAGGTTTAGTTCGTTAGGAGTAGTTGATTGCTAATTTGGCTTTAATGAAGAGTTACATATTGTCTGCATTCAGGACAACTAGCGGTATCGGTCAGTAGTTCCACTGTGGAATGCTCACTAACCATACCGGACGTGGTCTGGATTCGATTCTTGGTCAACACATATAAACTTCACCTAGTCTATTACCCGATAATGAGCCCACAAAAGAGGGAAGGTTGGGCATGACGCTAGCATCTCTGTGTCATAACATGTCCACCAAAACTTCTAAAAGTGTTTGAAACCTTATGTTCTTCTTGGAGCGCTCAGGAATGAAAAACAAGGGTGTCCATCAATGGTACTTCATTATCATTAATTTATTTAATTTTATTCATCGATGTGCTCATTAAGGTGACTAAGCATCTCAGGAATTCTACTGATGTTTTGAAAAGAGGTGGCTCATGAAATGAAGATGTTCAATGCCTCAAAAAAATACAATCACATTTGCCGTTCGTTGGGAAAAAAAATGCAAAGCGATACTACGTGATTGGATTTTATTAACTCTCTCAAGTGAAGAAAGTGTTAGAAACAATCTCCTTTTTCGATTTGCATCATCTCTTGCTTATGTTCAGTTATCTAGCTGATCGATTGAGGTTTATCGTAAAACTTTCCTCAAAAGTGAAACACTTCAAGTTTCTACAATCTATATATATATTACACGAAGGTGAAGGAAAGCAAGAAAAAAGAAGTTCAAAAGAACTTTACAGGAAAAAGAATAATAGTATGGCAAAAACATGAGGGTGAATGCATTTGCGGAACTAAGGACGGTTTTTCAGGTGTACATATCACCAGCAATCTGAAGCCATTCGTTCTTAACATTCCGTCGACAAAAATAACACCTCCCCCACGTGGCGCACAAACCAACGGTGATTTGACCACACACCTAAAAAGTCTATGTCAGCTTCCACAGCTCGTCGACGAAGGCGGAGACTCGGAATTCCTAACACATGTCGCAGCTACCTCCAGTTAACTTTCCTCCTTCGCCTTACACTCTAAGTCTACCTTCAATATTACTCATTGTATTATACCGCTTACAACTACCGGAGAGAACTCATGGTCACCGATAGTCAAAGACGACTAGCCTTTTCAGGTATTCCACTTCTAATGACCATAAAGGAGGATAGAGGGATGAACTGCTGCTTATTACACACCTCCTTTGATCGATGATAGCCGGAGATGATCATGCCTACACCAGAGATGATGTTACCAAATGCCACCAAATACTGTTCGTATGCATGTTGCGATTTCGTCAGAAATCAGTTCATCGTTTGAGCTGATACAACTTCCCAGATAATTATGTGAGTCAACACGTTGAACCACTTCACTCCATATCTTTAAGTTGGTTGGTGCAAACCAGTCCTACAGCATCATCTCACATTTGACAGGGGCGAATCACATGCTGAACATACTAAAACTTCTGTTCAAGGTGTCCAATCACCTGCTGAAGAAGGCTGGACAGCTGACCTCTCTGTGCTACTTCATGGATACAAAATATGACTGGTGAATACAGAAGAAGACATGATGAAAGTAGCATATTCGTGAGTATTTTCGCTAAATGTTAGTTAACTGACTCTTCATCATTCGATGTGTTGTTTCTTCTCTAGTTTAAGTGGATATTTCACTGATAAACACTCGCCTCTTAGGCAATAATTCAAAGGGGGAGGTAGGAATCCCGTCCCAACCACTTCATCATTCCGGCCGGAGGAGGAATCAGTGAGAAATCTGTTTCGGGGTGACTGGGTCACTTTTACTGAATTTCTGTCAATTTGAGCTGTGATACACCGATGAGTATATAAGGCTCTCCTCTTCTTTTAATTCATGCATTTATTTCACCGAACAAATTTATTGATATCTTACTCGCTTGAAGTGTTTATTGCTTTACTTATTTATTTTTCTTTAACTTTTCATACCTCATTTTTCTAACAAAGGGTGAATAATCTCCTCGATCGTATTACAATTATACATGGTCAAGCAGAGTCTGTTGAACTTCCTGTTAAAAAGGTGGGTCATATCTTTGTATCATTTCCTTCATCACTTAATTATTTCCACATTAACGAAGTTATTCATATTGATATAATAATACGGGTAATATGATATCTGTTATTGTGGTGGACTGGATGATGTGTCAGACTGTGCAGTGTAACTAAGACACCAAGTATGCGTGAGATCGACAAGAAGACTCCAGAACATGTGAACTTCGAGGATGATTTATGTGTGTCACACAAATTTACAGATTTACTGATAAACAGCAACAAGTTGACAGAATAAGCAGCGGCGTGGTGACAGGATTTCAGTTGAACATAGCGAAGAGACAGAGGTGATGAAGATAATCAACAACCAACAACAATAACCAAAAGCACCAACCACTGTCGCGGGAGAAATTTCAAGGAAGTCATTTTTTCACTCACCTGTCTAAGCAGCGTTATTTCAACTACACACAGGAGGTGGCATGGATGACGATGTCAAAGCCAGCGAGCCACCATTGGAAAAGTCAGACAAACCTGCACATGAATATGAAACCAGGGAAAAAATCTGATGCACTCAGCACAAGGAACAAGGTCCTGATCTTCCACACTAATCTCAATTCATTGATTCTATATATGCTTGAGAGACTTGGCGCTCGTGTCACCCAAAGCATGTCCAACAGGCTGCCAATAGACTTTTATCCACAGCTTGCTTCGCTGCATAGTGGAGATCAGACGACTGATGAGGAAGGATAAGCAGTGTGGAGCTTTGAAAAGCATCGAAGAAATAACCGAGAACCTATCACCTAACATAAATGGAAAAGTAAATGGAGATGGATTGTATATACTCTGAGGAGACTTTCAAATGACAGCAAGGTGTGCCTGCGACCTTCTAGGAATTGATGACTTCTCTAGGATTTGAACCTAGACGATAAGAAGTTAGCTGTCTTGATGACTGCAATGCAAACTTGATTTATCGAATACTTAGACTAAAAGTATAGTATTAGTAATTCTCTAACGGTCAACCAATGTGTCTTTTGCAGTAGTGTAGCAGTTTAGTCGTGAGGCCGATTCGCTCTGGAATTTGTCTAAATCCAGAATGATTAACCGTGCTTAGTTTAATCTTCTAGAGAAAAACTGACTTTGTAACGATACAGCAGGGTGGTATAGCGCATAGTCCCCATAAAGTAGCATAATTAGGTGTAGTGAGGGAGCGCAAGAGAGGTTAATCACCGAATCTCCGTTCATTAAATCAACACCAAACACATGTAATTAAAATGATGTAGAGATTGGGAGGGAGAAAGGCAGGCTTAAGAAAGCCAAAAAGTAGCGTGTTATGCATTGATGTGATCATGAGCATCAATAAATTGTGCTGGGATCATCATCAAGTTATTAATCGTTTATCACTGTATAGATCTATTTGTGCTATATCAAATAAACTTACCTTGTGTAGAACTACCAAAATTCTCTCTTCCATTGTCTTCACTTAGTCCTTTTGTTTTGACCATACAAATATTACATGTCAAATCATACCAGTTCCACTCTCACCCATTTTTAAAAGTAGACATTTCAATCTTTCACTGTTTGTGTTAAGCTTTTAATTCAAGAGCAAATATTATAGTGGATGTCAACGTAGAATAAACACAATTTGGTCAAGTATGCCGATGATCTGACTATTTGCATGTCACAGTTAGCTTCCTGTGAAACCGTTCAAAACTTGAATACCTTTTTGTATTAGAAATCATTCAGTGGTCATCATCGAATGATCTTAAGCTAAATTCCTTCATATGTCAGATTGTTAATTTCACAAACAAACATGATTTAGGTGAATTGGTTCGTTCTCCTGATTCTTGTGTCATAAAAAGAGTCTGAATTTGAAGCTAATTTAGTCGATTGTTAAACACCTTGTATTATGTTTTTATTCTGATCTTTTCCGGTCTTCCCACTTTATGTTAATCTCTATTAAGATATTCTGTCTAACTGTCTACGAAAGGAATTTATGACAATCAGGTATCATTGAGTCTTTACTCTTACAGTTAGTTAATTCCTGTCTCCTACCTATTCTTTATTGTTATCCCTTAATCTTTCCTGACTGTATTGAGTAGGATAATAAAAGCTCTCCATAGGGCGAATGGGGTATCGGTAATCCAACTGGTTAGTAGTATCGTGGACAAACACTTGTAGTCATGCTAGAAATTAGCGAATATCATCTGAACACCGTCTCTGTGTACACAACAACTCTTCTTTTGTATTTCATCATCAGGTTAGGATTGGAAACAATCATAAAGGACTTTAGGGCCCAGATGACTTAGTAGAAAAACTCTGCGGTAATTTATTTGGTACGCATTTTATGTGACGAGAAAAATGTGTTGGGTATGAACTATTAACTTACTGTGAAACAACAAGTGATGAACAGTACTTCTTATTCCTTCTATCACATTAATGTATTGTTGTCACTGTCTCTGTTTAATTTTACATTTTTATATTTTTTTATTGTGCATTGAAGTTTCTCTAGGAGTTTGATAGCTTTTGTGGTGTAGGGTGGCTAGCCCCACGCCCAACCCTCGCTATTTACCCGGGCTTGGGACCGGCTAGAAAACTAGTCAGCTAGTTAACTAGGCGAGGTTTGGAAATTTTCAACATTCAGCATAAAGAACAAGATTCGGATTTTCAACATAAATGTGAAGTCGGTCCTTCTGTACGGATCAGAAACTTGCACTGAGTGTCTCGAAAAGGATTTCCAACAGGCTACTGCATACTTCTATCATAAGCTGCCTTCGCTCCATACTGAAGGTCAAATTATCAGAAAGAATCATCAACAAGAAACTCTGGCTATGAACAAATCAACCAAGAGCCGATCGCTCAACAAATATGTAGGAGAAAATGGAAGTGGATTGATGGGGTAAATGTTGAGGAGGCCGTCGAATGACTTCGCGCGCCAGGTCTTTGCTCGAGTGGAATCCCAATAGTAAGCGAATGGAGCATTGGTCCGAGGGTGACATGGGGGAGATGAAAGATTATGGGCAATCGTGGACCCAGCTGAAGAGAATGGCTGAAAATAGAATAAAGTGGAGATGTGTTGTTGAAGCCCCATGTTCCACTCGAACCCAAGGGGATAATAATATTAATAATATTTTTATTGACATCATCAATGTAAATGTCTAGAGAAAATTAGTTACAATATGTTGCTAATTCCACACTTTATCAGATGTATTGTTGGGAATAAAGTCAATATTTTGATTAGACTCTGGGAAATACTAACGGATGTGATACGTCTTGTCTGGTCATTCGCTTGGTGCAGACTGAATTCTGTCATTCATGTTTCCAATGTGGCCACACCATGCTTTATGGCTTACTGTCACGACTCACTCCAAATAGTTACTACTGTGATTAAATCAGAAGTGACTATCCTTCTTGTTGTAATTGTTTGTTAACAGCAACTGTAGATTTTGTGATTATTTTTCTTTTGTACTTATTTGTGTGTACCTGTACCACCATCTTGTGTTTTACAGGTTGATGTTATTATCTCAGAATGGATGGGATATTTTCTATTCTTTGAATCAATGCTTGATTCTGTGCTGAATATTGCTTCAAAATATTTATCCCCAGATGGATATATATTCCCACGTCATTATACACTTCATCTATTGGGTGTGCAATGCTCAGATAAATTACGTCAACGTCGACTGGAGCATTGGAGTAATGTTTATGGATATAATATGCCAGCATTGCGTCGTGCTGCATTGAGTGAAGCTCATATATTGAATTTAACAAATGAACAAACTCCATCCTCACCATCATTATGCTCACCAGATGTGTCACAGGCATCCTTACAATCATCATTCGCCACTTGCTCATCAGCATCAGGGACAACAACTTCACCGATGACAATATTAACTTCTCAGCCGTATAAATTAATCGATTTAGACTTGTGTGATATGCATAAACAACGCGTTTATCATTTAACAAATAACTCTTCTATATTATGTGAAGAAAATTTTAGTTTACTTATACAACCATCGAATCTATCAACAAGGATAAGTGATACTTTTAAATTAGATGCTATTGTTGGCTATTTCAATGTACGTTTTGATGATGCAGCAGATGTCAAGGTAAGCAAGCATGTTATTTAAAAAAAAAACGTAAAAAATTGAATTTCTTTCAAGTGTAGGTTTCATTATGAATCGATCGATGGACATTACGGGTTCGATCATAAGCTGACATTAGTTAGAGAATCATCTGGAAAATCAGGGAGTACGAGCTTGCCTTGTAAATTTAAGATCCAGGTTTCAAAACGTGGTGAGTGTGTACTGGCGATCAGTTCCAAACTGTTCAGTACTTCCTGGTTTCCAGTGGTTCTCCAACTGATGTCACTCAGTCAGGAGGAGTGGCCTCCTTAAGACAACCACCTGTTTCGGTGTGGGTGTCTGGGCAACATTGCTTTAGTATCTCTCCTTTCAATACTGGGCACCTTATATATGTTGATCGAGTTGTTAAATCCTTGCTTACTTCCGAACATAATTTTGTTTGTCTTTTTTTAGGTTGAATTTTCAACATCACCGACTGCTCCTTTGACACACTGGAAACAAACACTGTTGTTCTTAGATAAACCAATTCATGTTAAGCAGAGTAAGTTGGTCTTATCATGAGTACTCTCTTTTTCAGTACTTAACTAACTAACTTTGTTGGAATTATTTATTTCTTCTCTTGATTACTGTGTATTCGGTCGAAATGCAGCATTTGAAACGATGGTTACTGGATTCGACTCCCAATAAAAAAATACTATCAGTCACTGGGGAAGGCAGATAAGTCCTTAGTACATGGATACGTGCGATTCGCCTACATTTCATCGCTACTCGTAATCAATCCAATCACATGTTTTCCTTCACATATCGTCTAAGAGTCCGTACTAGAATCCGACATATTAACATTGACTAAGCATTTCTGTTCAATAAAACAAAAATCAATCTTCTCTTGCTTTTCCGATCTTGGCTGGCTTTGAAATCCTCATCCGTGCCGCCGGCTTGCAGTTTCATAAGTCCTTAAAATTAGTGGCTTTTGAAGTTATCAATCACACACTCATGGTGCTTTGCGTCGCATTTCCCCACTCTCTTTGTGAAGGCGGAACTTTCAACAGCTGCTAACTCTAAACTTATCAGAGAATTTTGGGGTTGTCAAGGTCATTTAAAACCTATATACATGTTCAGCATCCCAGTCAAAAGTTCTGTTGTTGTTTCAGATAGTAAAATCTCGCTAGCTGTCTTGTGAACGATGAGCCTTCGCTCCTGTTTTCACCATCTACATAGTACTGTTGTTTTTGTGATAGATAGTGGTTGTACTTTCATTTGTGACATTGGCTTCAAATAACTCTCTCATTCTACTAGGTTGTAGTATATCATTATTACTAGTATTATTGCCTTGGGTTCTAAGTGGGACATTGAGCTGCTACAGCACATCTTCATTTCATCCTATTCCCTGAAGTCCTTATTAGCTGGCTCAACGATTACTCATAAGCCCTCATCTCCTCCTCCTCTCACGATCTCCTTCACGCCGCCCTCAAACGCACGCCTAAATCGTCACTTCCCATTCGAGTGTAATCCTAGGGTTTGGCACTCAAAGCAATGATGATTAGGTTGATATTAGTGTCGAAGGTCCGAATCTTGTTGGTGATTTTAGAGTGATAGAGGTCTGTTTTGCTTTCCGGACACAATCTGGCTTTGACATCGTCATCTCTGCCGCCTCCTGCGTGTAGTTGAAATAACACTGCTTAGCCAGGTAAATGAAAGAGGTGATTTCCTTGAATTTTCTCTCGTTGAGTGACTGATTGGGGCTTTTGGTTATTGTTGTTGTTGTTGTTGGTTGTCGATTATCTTCATCACCTCTGTCTCTTCGCTATGTTCAACTGAAATCCTGTCACCACGCCGCTGCTTATTCTGTCAACTTGTTGCTGTTTATCAGTAAATCTGTAAATTTGTGACACATGAATCGTCCTCAAAGTTCATATCTTTTAGAGTCTTATTGTAAGCCTTGGGTTTTGTTGTTGTTTTTGTTGTATTTGACATTGTAATCAGCGATTAGACAGCAATTTCTGTTAGCACATTAGATTTGTGTCGTTTACAGTCTACAAAGTCATGTAAAAGTTGTTTGTTTTTCGTGTTTTGTTAACTTCGTTTCTTTCTTTCTTTCTATTAGGTGATTTAGTCACTGGGAAGATAACAATTCGTCGTGCAACACTCGATAATCGTGGATTGGAGATTACCTTGAAGATTAACGGGACAGCGGATTATCCTGAAGTCAAACAAACGTATGACTTACTAGGCTAGTTTGTGTGAGCGAATCTGATAATTAGATGTCTGAGATAGAAGGAAACAGAAGCGAGGCCTATTTACAGTGTGTAAAACGACAGACTGACTTTTCTACTAATATTGATTGATCACGTCTGTTTCTCTCTCGCTCTTTCTTATTTTCTACTATCACGTATATATATTGTGTACAGTTTTGAAGTATGGTTTTTGTTATACTGTCCTTTAAAAGGGCTATCATGTTAGTATTAATTAAAATAAAAATAAACTTGTTGTGGTAAATAAATATTTTTTCTTTAAAAAATGTTGGATGTTTACGTGTGTATGTGTGTGTGTTTGCATTGTTTTCCGTGTAAAATCTACTTCCTGAAAGTTCTGCCATTGGGTTACTGGTTCTAAACGCATTCTCCTCTCCAAGGTTTGTTCAGTCCCGGTTAGTATAACCAGTCCGTACACACAATAGGTGTTGACTCATTGCTTACTATGCCTAGAATTGTAATTGGTTGTTGAAAATACATTCATTCTATCCTCTTGTGTACGGTGGACTTAATCGAAGCGGCATCAGGGATGTGATCTGCTCATATCTTGAATGCATGCCAGTGAACAATCACATTTATAGAAATGATGGCGAAGATCGATAACTCAAGTGGTTGAAGTCGGGATGTAGTTGTGTTATTTGCAAAGTTTTTATTGCCTTTATTGACACAATATCTTCAATGCTAATATCAATGCGATGTTATTGTCTTGAAAGTTATAGGAGCGTAGCAAATAAATTGTCTAGCTCAGTCGGTCGGTGGTTAGCCAAATTTTTTGTATGTTTATGGGAAGCTTACGATAATGTTCAGGTGCTTGAGTTTCAGTATATGAAGTAGATTTTGGATTTGTGATCCATTGCGAAATATGCCTGATTTATTTAGTGACAATCACATGTGCATAGTTAAGTCTCCAACTAGATAATCCAACAACTACGTGAATAATTCCAACCAATAAACTCAGAGAATCGGTTTCAAGTCTCATTCTGACCACTTTTTGCCTTCTTTTGTTCTAATATTTAATGGGAACCACTTATATCTTAACTGATGTGATGCATAACAGTGTGTTATCACTCATCTCTCTTTTGTTTTATGTTATCCTCGAAGAATGGTCCTCAGCAAATATCTGCCATAGTGGTCACCCTTTAGAGCATATGATCAGCCTATATTCATGTAGCTCATATAGTACCCTTGTAGATTTTTCATCATCTGTAGTCTGAAATTCTGTTTAATATCTGCCACCTTGATTTGGTGGCTGAGCTTGCATACTGCAATGATCCAACAGACTACACAAGAAGGAAAGAATCTTACTGCAGTTACTACTATCTCAAAAAGTTTGCGTAAATATCAGCAGTTCGATGAAATGTAGTTCCGAATATGCAGTCTATGTTTGTTTTCGACTCTTGGGCAGGGGGATGACCCAAAAGATTGTTCATCTCGACATACTCTGTGGTGATCCCAAGCCAATGATTAGGTTCTCATACGATCACCATTCTTAAAAATCATTTTGAACAGTCTCCGTGTGACTGGCTCGAAAGCAGTTCTCCCCTTGCGCCCTATGATGACACAATACGAACAGTCTTCCTGTTTCAATCCGGTTAGGTATTTTGAGATCTTACAACTGTACAACTTATGTAAATACTTCTTGTGCGGAAACCCAGATAAATTAATTGACATATTGCGAGAAAGATTAGTTTTTATGGTGGGAGGAAAAAATATGACAGTTGTGGTTTCACACTGTAGTCACAAAATTGATTGCTATAGAATACGAATAAAATAATCTGTTCCCACGTACATATATACATTCTAGAGCATTATCTCTATGTATTCTTAGTGCACCTGATATTGGCAGATTAGTAGAAGTTCGAATTCATGCTGCAGCCATTGTATTCCGTCCTAGTGATTGAATAGCCAACTAGTTCGTCTTGTAACCTAAAGCTACTGGATTCCATCCTCGGTTAGGTTGTGGGTGTATACTGATGAAGAGCCACAAACAAGGACAAATAGGTGTCCAGTTTTCCCTGCTGGTTTTCGATGGTGCTCTAACTGATGCGTCAGTTCGTGATCAGATGTGAATCATATAGGGAATCTTAACCAATTAAGTTAATGGAGACGTCTATCGCGCAAGACTATCCAGCAGATTTCCAACTCATGGAATGTCAACTTTAGCAGAGAGATTTCGAAGTGATAATTAGACGGAAAGAAACATGTTACTACCCCATGAAGTCTGGCTATTGACCTGAATCATATTGGTTAGTAAAAATGGCTTGTTCATATGTTCTATGAGATGATAGTAATTGAAGGTTAGGGGCTAATGGTCACATACTTTGGAATCGGATTCTGCAATTAGCAAATTAAGCAAAACTTTCGACTTATTTTTCTCTTCTAACCCACTTGCCTATACCAAGTTATAGTCTTTTTTTATACAACACCAGTGCTATTCCTTGAATTCAATTCACTCAGAACTGATTTCTTATGTGCCGGCCTATATGAGCTATACTTATGTGGTGTGTAAGAGCTGACGATACTGCAACCCGCTTGGCCAGACAGGCTAAAGTAGCTGGAGTGGGATTCAAACTTGAAACCTAGCTGTTATGTGCATGAATATTCTTCGATAGCTGAAATATAGAGTTGCGATTTGTAAACGCAATAGCTGCTCACAATAATATGCTTTGGTGTTTTTATGTTAGAAATACTTCTCTGGCATACTCTTCTTCTGAACTTAAGCATACCTAAATATCACAGTTATATGTCAAATGAAATGAGATAGTTACTAACTGTAAGTTTCTTCCTGTAAATAATAAAATATTTCAATGCAAAGCTCGCCTTATATCGACTAACATTGGTTAGAGAACCATTGAAAACCAATGAAGCAGCGGGATAGCTGTTTCTATATAGTTTGTGACCCTTCAGCACTGTGTATCCATGACCTAATCATCGAATTAATCCAACACCTTAAAGTTACGACATCAGTGCTTTGGCCGTTCAACCACTCACTGAGTTACAAATAAATGACCTGTGTCACCTGCGAGATGTACATCCTGGACTTAACTACTAATCGCCATCAACCAAAATATCTTCATGTTGAAGCGTGCGTATTAGGAGGGGCAACATGTAAGCAGAGAATGTGCAATTCTGTGCAGCCTAATCAATTAATCAATCAATTGGAAATGCAAATCAACCTAAAACCAAATAATTTTTGTGATCCTCATCTTTTTTCTGGTGTTTTCTTCTTCTGTGATTATTGTACAGATAGGCAGAAGAACTTGCTTTCATCTTATTTTGTTGTTGTTGTTGTTGTTGATATTTTCGGTGTTTTTGCCTTATTGTTGTTATTTTCTTCCTGTTTCTAGGATCTCACATGTTTTGCCAAGTCAGATTTCAATCATGTTCAATGGATTAATGAAGCGTTGAAACCGTATGCCTCTGATCCAAATTACTTGGATGTAAGTCTGTTCATCGTAATCGAGAAATAGAATTTGAGCAATAGAATAATTTTTATTTTCATAAAACCACACATAGTGATACAGTGTTGTTTATTTAGTGAAGTTCTCAGCACAATGTGTCGCTCGCAATCATATCAAACCTTGTCCACACAATTCTACTACTTCTTATCCTTTGATTTGACTGGTAGTAATATTTTCCCACATCTCTTTGATATGGGTTTTGTGCTATTCCGATTGCTTGTAAGGTGTAGATGCGATGAACAATAGATTCACTAATCAATCTCTCCAACCACCTACCTATATTACGTTTTAGAACTGTAGTTTCATCCCACCCTATTTTGTGGTTGTGTCGGTGTGTGTGTGTGTGCACTGCAATTGTTCGTTTCTTCAATAAACTATTCATCTTCCCGGGGATCAATCACTGTACACCTAATTGAATTCCCTCGGTTCCGATAAACTAACTGATCCCGATCTACTAGTCTATCCTACCCTATGCGCAATTGACCTCACAGTCATTCTAAGGTATTTTGTAGCTTAAATTATTTTATCTATTTGGATATCTTCGCCTACAGATTTTGTTCTGGAATGGGTTTGTAGGTTTAAAAGCCACTCTAAATCCTGTTGTATTAAGAATCCTGTGTAGGCTTTCAGATATCCTTTCCTTATCTGGTAAAAAAAACAACTGTAAATGCGAATAAGGCATTAAGAAGACAAATTTCAAATTTATCAAAGGGACTAATTGTTTTAACTGTAAATGCTTCAAATCTCTTCTTACTTATGTTATAATTAATAGTGTCATCCTACTAGTTTTTCCCCCTTTTAATTGTGAGCTTTCTTTGGACTTGCTAGACAAATAAAGCTTGAAAGTAGTGTGTGTGTGAGAGCGGTGGCCATTGAGAGCGGAAGACATGAAGAGATTGTCTGTTTTTGACCACAGATGTTTACGATCTCTTTCTCACGTTAGGTGGCATAATAAGGTAAGTAATGTTGACGTTAGGCGTAGAGTGTTGGGTAAAGAGGGAAAATCACTCGAAGAGGCTATGAAGTTACATAGATTGGGATGGTTAGGCCACGTGCTGCGCATGCCTAACCATCGTCTCCCCCGACGGGCATTACTAGCTGATATAGGTGCAGGTTGGAAAAGGGTAAGTGGTGGCCAAACAGAAACATGGCATCAATCCATGAAATCCTTGACAGTTAAACTGGGTCAGGTAGGGAGATGCAGACTTCCGGGTTGGGGCCCTCGGGACTCTAAGAATCAATGGCTGGAGACACTAGGCGACATGGCTCAAAATCGTTGTCAATGGCGCAGATGTATTCAGTCTCTTTAACCTTCATACCCCTTTCTACCATTACTCATTCTGTTTCACTCTTATACTTGTCAAAACTCTATTGATTCTCTTCACTCATTTTCTTGTCTATCTTTGTGTGCTATTTGGAACGTGGCAACTCGAACTGCTGCACTTGGGTGCCAAGTTCTATGTTGAATCCAGACAGACAGACAGACAGTGTGTGAGACAGAGAGTACCTTGAGAAAATTATGAACAACAATAAATTGTCTTTGGAACGTCATTATAGTAAATAAATGATCCTGTATCCAAAAATGTTTTTGTCTTTGATGAAGTCTGTTCATCTACTTCTTTGAATTTCGATTTTATGAAATACCAGAAATATTTCCTGAAGATATGGTTTGCTACAAATTGAAGGTTCTCAATGAGTATCTGAAGTATAACGCTAATCTCCATGATACAAAGGCTACGTTGGACTTCATTAACAATTACATCGAATCAAATCAGTATCCTAAAGTTTATTACAAGTCTCTACGTCGAAGCAGAGTTCATCCTAGTAAGGAGACGCTGAAGGGATATGCATTAAACCAAACAGGCTCTTTATCCACAAATATACAAGAGAATGAAATGAATATCGTCTGCGGGTAATATGCAGTAGATGAACTGCCAGAAGATCTTAGAATGCCTTTTATGGAATACGTTACTGAAGTTAGTGGATGTGAAGAGCACAGAAGAAGCAGATAGAGCTTATGAAAGGACTTGAAGGCAAGCCAGAGGCTAGCGAATTTCCGGCAGATCCTAAAAAGTACGTCCACAATTATAGTAGAGTTGATTTAAATAAGGTGCAACTCGAAGTACTTTCTCTTGGACTTAGATTTTGCGACAGATGGAAACGAGTCCATCACTTAGATACTGATATTGAATTTGAAAACTTATTCAGTCAAACAAGGGATTTAGTTCCATCATCCACCCTGGAACTAGAACGCTTCAAATCCAGTCTAGTGGATTTTTGTTATCAGTACAAAATCATCAAATGCGATAGTAAAAGTTTCTTTACAAAGCAGCACAGAGGAGAACTAAAGAAACAGACAAATGATGCGAGACTGATAATCACAAAGCTTGATAAAGGATCAAGAATAGTCCTCCTTGATAGAAGTGACTATATTAAAAAGATGAATGATATATTGAAGGACACACAGAAGTTTCGAAAAATTGAGGTGAACGATTTCAGTAACAAAATAGAAAACGAATTAACCAGGCATATGAAGAAACTAAGTGAGGGCCAGATATTTCCTGAAAGTTTATATGAAGAACTTAGGTCAGTTGGCACGTACACGCCAAGATTGTATGGCCTACCTAAAGTGCGTAAACCGGGGGTACCGTTAAGACCAATATTTGATATGCGAAATTCGTCCTACCATGATCTAGCTAGATAATTAGTAAGCATTCTCAAACCTTTGCATTAGCGGATAGGGAAACACAGTGTTAAACATGTATTTGAATTAGTAGACAAAATCAGAGATATTAATATCAAGGACATAACATCTTTATACACAAATGTACCTCTAGTAGAAACGGTTAACTACATAAGTGAACAAGTGTATAACCATTCGATAAATATTAGCATCCCAACGGAAATCCTAAAAGAATTGTTATTAAGGTGTACCATGAATGTAAATTTCAAATTTGATGGCACACTTAACAGACTAATGGACGGGGTGGCGATGGGTTCCCCATTCGGTCCGATTTTTCCCAGATTTTTCCTCAATAAACTAGTAAAGGAACCGTGGAACAAGCTTATCAGAAAATCCTAATTTTTATTACCGGTGTATGGATAACAATTTTATTCTTTGTGATAATGATTCGTATAGGAATACAATAATAACTCAGTTCAATGAAGTATATTCTGCTATGAAATTTACGTGCGAAGAGCAATCCCATAGTAGAATTGTCTTCCTAGATGTCCTCCTTACAAGAAGACGCGGACAGGACAATATACGCACTAACTGTAGAACCTGATAATGAAGTTATTGAAAAGTATATTCCTTATTCAGTAACCATTCTTATGAAAATTGATATTCTTTAAGGAAAGACTGTCAAACAAGAAACAGAACTTAAAATTAATTTAATAATTCCAATTGCAATAATGTTGAGACCAAAAATTTTTTAGCGAAGAGACTCCTTTCAGGCTCTTATCGGGCTGTGAGGAGATTTAAACAGGTATCAATACTCAAAATAATTTGAAATGCATATTTAATTTTTGTGGTTATTATCATAGTTAAAAATCAAGTGGCAAAAAAATAATCTCATTCATAGAATAGTCCTTGATAAAGGTGGAAGTGTGTTGTCGTGATGAATCACCATCACTAAATGTATAAAATCTCAGTGATTCTTTCCGATCAAATGAAATTCACCATACCTGGTTTTGAAACGAACAAGACACATCTATTTGAAAACCAGCTGACAAATGTTTTTTGAAAAACATGAAACATTCAAATGAATAAAGCAAGAACAACAGTGGTTTGTGTAGCATAATATGGTAGTATCATTTATTTCGTTGGCTTCTCATCAGCTGCTTACAGCCTAAATAAATGATGAGGTTTATGTGCAGAAAAGTTTTAACATACTTTCAAATCTTTCATGATATCAGTTGACAGAAGGTTCCACAATTAGTGAACATTGCTCAGAAAATTACGCTTATATGGTTTTGACACAGGCAGTTCAAGTTTAAACAAAATAAATGTATACATACAATGGTAAAGGAGTTACATAATAAAGACGAAAGATGCGTAAGATGTTGAGTGACTAATAAATTAGGTAACAATGTACTGATTTCAACTCAAATCATAGAAACAAGACAGAAGCAAAATTACACTGTATCAAGGAGGTGAGGTTAAAGCCGAAGATAACGTAGTCAAATGAGAGGAAGAATAAAGACAACCAGTTACCAGACAGGGCAAGGAAAGACTAATAACTGCTTCTTTCTGAACACATAAATCTGGTTTCAATTCATCAAGGGGAATATATGCATGAAGAAAAATTAATCCGCAATCCGTCCAGTCGGTTACCACTCTTGTATGAATAACCGAAATTTCACAAAACACGATTACCCATCCGTCCGATTTTCGATATGGCGAGTTCTCCTTAACACGGAATTGCTCAATGGTGAGGTGGAATACTAGAAGCAGTTAGCCTACATAATTCCATTTTAAACACATAACCTGGTACAACATGGGCACCAAGACATGTGCCACACAACAATAATGAAACGTAAATATATAGAAAAGTGGTGAGAAAATGAATGACGGATGTCATCCAGAAAGTGTATTTCTCAAGAACATCCAACATTCACTACTTCATGATACTTTCGGAAAGGGGAGAAAGATGTATATTACACCATATTTGACAATGATTGAGATCCTTTGCCATAACTGATAGCGTTTCGAGCTATGTCTCTGGCCCCAACCAGGAAGTTGTGATGTACTCACCGATGCTAGGTTGAGACAAATATCCTTCATGCAGCGACGCCCCATGATGGGCTGATCACCTCTCCACTTTTTCCATCCTGTCTCAGAACTGGTGAACAGAGACTGGTACGGAAGCCATTCGGATGGCATTTTAAGCACATGTTCAAACTACCGAAGCCGGATGACACTAAGTGGCTCACCTCAGAAGTACTCACACGACGATGTCATGTGATGCAAGTAATTCTACGGAGACAGAGATGATCGAATACGCATAGTCGCCACCGCACATCCTCGGCTCTGAGAGGGCCGTTTCCACAGGTGTAGAGCATGACTGTGTTCAGCGAAGCATTGTGAACCAGACTTTTGACAGTCAGACTAACAACTCGACAATGCCAGAGGTGGCCCACACTGTCGTATGCCACCGTAGTCTTCATGATGCGGTTAGAGATCTCATCCGTAACACTTTCGTCAACATTTATTTAACTACCCAGATACACAGAATTATCAACAACTTCACGCTGGGATTATTTTCATTAATTACTATGTGTACGACTGCATAGCTTGATAATAAATTCGTTGAAAAGAGTCTCTTCACTGAATTTTGTGTTCTTAACATTACTGCATACTAACGAGTACCGCTGAATGATTATTTGATCCTGAAATCGACAAGTCATGAAATGAGCCTGTTACCATCTAAATCAATTCAACCCCTTGCAACTCCAGTCACTCTATCACCTACAAACTAGTGTATTAAATAATGTTTGTTTTTGGCAAGAATCCAACACATATCTTTTAACTACGCCGTTTTTTCATTACAAGTAAAAGTCTTTTTTTTATATAATAGTATAAACCTGTCAATATAACTGACGTGTACATTCGCCTATGGATCGCATCTGCCTAGTCTTGATTGATAATTATTTGCCTGGTTTGGCTGAAATCCAATCCAGTTCACAGTTGAAATTCCTGTTTCAGTTATTATTGTGAAAATGAAACTGCCTTTCAATATTTTTTGTATGTCATAATATAATCTAAATCAAATATCACAGTTTAGGAATTTAATAGGCTTATAACACACACACACACAGTGTAGTTTACAAAAATTAGTTGATTGAAAAGTATGTAAAAAACTGAGACACATGCTTTGTTCTTCTTAACAGATTTTTCTGAGCGTCCCTACCCTGAAATTAACTTTAATCTTTTTTAACCTTCCCTTAAATTAACCAGATATCTTAATTAATACCATTACACTTTACTGAATGCTTTTTTCATGAATATAGAGTGCAGTTTACCTGGATTAATTGCCTGGTTCGAACTGAGCGTTCCACTATTGGGTGTATTAAGGTTAACTTCGCCGAATTTTAATACGTAGCCCGTTAGAAAGAATAATAATACTAACAATAAATAAATAAGTGTCTTTTCTGCTAGTTTACCATAGTTCGTCTACTGAATTCCCTTCTATCTAGAGCGCAGCTGTAATTGTTTGGTCTAAGCATTAAGCTCCCAACCACTGAGTCACACGGGTTCCAATTCCTTTTCCATCTATTGAGGCTTTGATAATCAGGTTTAGTATTACTACCCGCCGCAGGCAAGAAACGTGGCTTATTTTTAGATAGTGCGAAGAAATTCAGTAAATTCACTCATCTCAGTGAGGTGATAACTTACAGGTTTGGAGGGATGGGTGACTTACGAGTTTGGTAAAATCGGGCTCTTCAAGCCGTAGCTCTTTGGAGTTTCAGTAACAGTGGTTTCATTTATACGTAGTAATGTTGCAAACTTCACTCTAAACCTTTCCTGTTTACCAGGTTTACTGCCGACTAAACGAGGTTTGGGAGTTCCTCAGCAGGGAATTGAATCAGGACTATGTGCTTGGTTAGTGTTCATTCTACCTACCATTGAACTATTGAGACAACAAGTTATGAATTGCGTGGTCGAAATTAACCATGCGTGCTGCGTCGGTGGTGCCGTGGTCCATGATTCGATCCTCGGCCGCAACACTTTTACACCTCTCATAGCCAGTATTAATCCCTGTAAAGTAGGAAAGTTGCGTTAGGTAAGACTAGCAACCCCGCTCCGTAAAAATAAAATCACTGTTACTGGAACTTCAGAGTTGAAGCCTTATGTTTCACTCGGAATGCAAAGGAACAGAATAAGTAATAGGCAATACTGAAGTTCTGTCGAGTGATTAGTTTAATGAAATAAAAGTTTAGTTTGTAGTCTAGTCCCAAAAATCTGTGTCTATTTTTTGTTGGGATATATAGCAAAACATTGTTTCCCCTTTAAAAGTATATACTGTGTAAAATATTTCTGGAGATTTAGACTCACTGGCTCAACCAATCGCTTTCGAGTTTGAATCCCAGCCTAACCTACTTTAGCTTGAGGAAATGTAACAGTATCAGAAAAATATTGTTGTTCATAGTTTTTTGCGGTATTTGGATGTCCTACTTTGAGTAGCTGAGTTCTAATAGCCTACTTCCAAAAATGCATAATAGTATATTTTAAATAGTGAGTCTTCATTGACTTGGGATGTCTGAAATTTTTGTGTGATGCACGATTTACCATCATCATTTCTTGATAACCATGAATAGGTGGGAAATTAGTTTAGTATTATTATTTTTCATTTTTTGCGCTCTCAGTGGGCTTCAACAGCACAATGCAATTTCACTTGATGGTTCACTGTCATCACTTTCAGCTATATCCGCGACTGTCTACAAGCTTTCATTCCCAACTCCCATGATCTCCTCCGTGTCACACTAGGTGACATACACCTAACTCATCGCTTTCTATTCAGGTTCCACTCCAGGGCCTGACGTATGATGTCACCCACAGTGTATATCCAATTCACCTGCATTTCTCTTTGCATATTTGTTGGTTAGAAGTAAGTTCTTGGTTGGTTCACTGCCTGCATACCATAATATTCTTTGTTGCTTATATGTTTCCTGTGACCAATCATGGAAATAAATGCTTTCAGTGAGACATTCCAAGTCTGCGAAGCTTATAAAAGCTCTGACCGATCTGACATCAGTGTTAAACATTTAGATCTTCTCTGTCTTTTCCTTGAGTTTAGAATGATTCGATTAAGGAAGAGTATCACAGCCATGTTTTTGTATTCTAATTGACAGCATGTTGAGTAAACTTCATAATCATGGAGATGCATGTATTGCTTTATATGCTCAAATCTTATTTCACCTCCATATTATTATAATTTTTATTATAAATCAGTTACAGATTATGTTTTCTTTTTCACTTCCGTTATTTTCGTGGCCAGTTTTCAAATATTTTTCTTTTGACCTTTTTGCAGCAGAAAGTATCTGATTTGGTTTTACAACTTCAGAATCAAATGAAGGTAAATATATTGAAATTATTTTGTTGTTGTAATATTAGATGTCTACTGAATTCGATATATATATATATATATATATATATATATATATATATATCGATATATATATATATATAGTTCGTTTATTCACAACCTAATATTCATTAAATAGGTTAGTTATACAAGTTACATAAGCGTTGGTGCCTTTTTACTGCTTTCTAGTACTTCTTGTCCTTGACTAAATAATTGTGAACCATGACTGTCTAATGATTATTACTACTCTCTTGGGTCCCTAGTAAAGGACAGGGTTTCAACAGCACATCTCCATTTCATCGTGTTTTCTGCAGTCATGTTTACTTGGCTGGACGATTGCCTATAAGCTTTCATCTCCTCATCACACAATGTCCTTTGTATCAAACTCGGACCTGCTAACAACTCATAGCTTCCCATTTTGATTCTACTTGAGGGCGGGGCGCGTGATGTCACTCAACGGTCTCTCTTCAGTGTGTGTCCAATCCATCTCCGTTTTCTTCTACGTATTTGTTGAGCAACAGGTTGTTGGTTAGTTCACTGCAGGAATTATTTCTTGCTTATCCTTTCTGGCCATTTTGTCTTCACTATACACTCAGTAAAGGCAGTTGTTGATAAAGTCTAAAGCCTGTTAAAAACGCTTTTTGTGCCGCATGTGTCAAGTGTGTGAACGTTTATGGAAGCACTTACTTGACAGTCGATTGTAATAGGTTATGTGGTTGAAGATGAAATGAAAATTTCCATAGCTGCATGTTTTTTGTGAACCTTCTGTGACATCCAAATTACTAGTGTAATATTCCACCATTTGAGTATATGAGGTATCGAATTATTTCTCTGCAATCACATCATATGTAATCCTGTGTTGCGGCTATCGCTTTAGGAGTATATAGTGAACTGGAGCTAATCTTTGCCTACCTTATTTGTAGATGTCAATTTTATGGTCGCTATCTATTAGTTGATGGACTGTTAAATGATAATTTTTCTTGAACTTTGCTTCTTTTGCGTGCTGTCACAGATCTCACCGTTTGTTTATCCCGATGTGTGCGTGTTTTTGCTTTGGCTTATAATCATCTGATTTTTGAAAAGTATAAGAAACAGAGTTAAAATAGAACAAGGATATTAGTAATTTTACTTAAAAAAAAGAAAAATAAATTATGGTAGTGTTACATTTATCATTATGTATTCCACTGTGTATTACTTAATATGTTTCACCTTCGATGTGTTATCAGATTTGATGACTGGCCCCTCCGCATTAAGTCTAATTAAGGACTCTATATCAGTAAATGATAATTAATAATGAATGCATACTTCGATATTTTGACCGAGTGTTACTACTTCACAGTTACGGATTTTTCTTGCGCACACCAACAGCTTCTGTTGTGGAACAGAGAAGATATAGCCAGAAACTTCTACGAATTGGTTTTTCTTTTTATACTGATATGGAATAATTTGTAGGAACAAGGTGTCCAAGAATCAATCTATTGGTTTGTTTGACTTTTTCGTATGCATCTAGACAGAAAAATCGTTCAGAGTGATATAAGGTAAGAGTGACTGATTGACGAGTTTCAACACAGAACTTTGCACCGATGTGCAGCAGTTCGAATTGGCACACTACCTCCATGTGGCACACAAAGCAAAAGAAGAGAGTAAACAGTGATTCAAAAGACAGATAATAAACCGAAGTATATGTGAGGGAAAAGTAAAGTAATGTGGAGGAACAGTAGAGTTTTGTTACATTTGACAAAGAGTGAATGTATCTGAGACATCATGAAGGATAATTCTGAGCTATATGACTGATTTTCTCCAGTCATTGGTTCTTAACTTCCCGAGGACCTTATCCAAGAAGCTAATCTGCACCTCCCTACATGGCTGACTTCAAAGAACTATTGTGGACTTCATTGACTGATCAAACCATGTTTTCGTTTGACCACCACTAGCTGTTTTCCAACCTGATCAATCCTATATCAGTCAGCTAAGATTGCCCATCGGTCGGTGAGGATGGCGATGGCTAGGCTAGGCATGGTTAGGCATGTCCTAACCATCTTAATCGATACAGCTGGTTCACAACCTCATCGATTGATTTCCCCTCCTTACCTATCACTCGACTGGGGCCTAACCTCAATATTGCTCACCTTATTATACTATTTAGCACACATGGGAGACAGAACGCAGACACTTATGATCAAAGACAGCTAGCCAGGCGTTTCATTTTTCCACTCTCAGTGACCATGTCTTGCTTACAGCCATAAAGGAGTACGGAGCGAACTGCCTAGCAGTACTTGCTTCCTTTGGTCGACAGCCGGATATCTTGTCCACTAAGCTAAACGAGCCTTCCGTATCCGTGCTGTGATTTTGTCAGCGATCACCCCGTTGGGGATGGCTGATGCAACTTCCCAAATAAATGAAGTGATCAACACGCCCCACCAACCACTTCACTCCAGCCTATCTTTAAGCTAGCAGTGAGTCAATGTAGTCCACACATTTAGCATCATCATCTTACATTGGACAGCAGGAACGAATCGCATGCCAAACATTCGAAGACTGCTGCCCACCTCAAGGTGTTCAGAAGACTCTGCATTTTGTCAGCGTCTTCACATAGGAGACAGGACTGTATCATCTGCATATTCTAAGTCAACGAGGTTATTTCATATAAGGTAAGACCAAGTTCTAAGGGTTCTCCGCTACAGCTACTATCGACAGTAGAAGCTCTTAGTATACACAAAGAAAACTGTGAACCATTTTACTGCCTTGACCTTAAACTTTTGTTTCTTTTTTTCTTAACTCGTAGAATAATTTTGTATTAAATCCTTATTCATGTTCAGTTCTGATAATTACTACCTCAGTGTTGTTGATGGTTTATTTGTGTTTCTCTATTATTTTATCTCACCCAAGGATGTTATGCAAACATTAGATCATACATGTCAAGAGGCAATTTCTTTTGTTCCACGGTAAGTGAGATATTCCTTTTGAGAAAAAAAATATTGTGAAACTAACTCGATTTAGAAAGTAAAACTGTTCATATTATAATACATATATATGTTTGAAGCCAGTTAACCCCCTTAGATATTACCAATATACTGTTGAACATAAAACATGATTGATGAGAGTGAATTTGATGTTAATGATTGAAACACCCGAAATGCATCGAAGGAACTTTTTATTGTTTTCAAATAATGCCATCCATTCTATATTAAGAATACCTTATAAATCTCATTTGTTGGAAATGCTTTTTCTGATGCACAGTTGCAAGTTTCTGACCCATACAATAGAACTGACTTCACATTGGTGTTGAAAACCCGAAATGTTATTAGGTGGTTGGCGCAGGAAGCCTTGGACCTAGGTTTCATGCTAGTTGGCGCTCACCAGTCAGCAAGGCGTATCTACAACCTTGAAGGAACTCATGTCCCTTCTGAGATTCGAACCCGCACCACCGAGAGCTGCAGTCAAAGACGTTACCACTGAGCTATTCGGGCTCGCGATTGACCTCGTGTAGAATTGTATCGGATACTTTGATTGGACACTAGTAACTAGTGTTTATTTTAATGTTGAGTGAGGGCAGAAGATTTCCAAATTGATTTCACATTGATGAAGGTATATCTTGCCTTTCTGATTCTGGCTAGCTTTGACATCTTCATCCGCCCCCTCTGTGGTTGAGACAATTTTTCCCATATAAGTGAAGGAAGTGACCTTTATTGAAATTTCTCCCGTTGAAAGTGGTTGCTGTTTTTTGTTGTTGCTGTTGCTTGGTTATCTTCATCACCTCTGTCTTCTCTACGTTTACCTATAGTCCTGTCTTCGCTGCCAGCCTCTTCAGCCAATTTGTTGGTTTTCGCGTGCAAGTTTTCGAGTCTGTGTGACAGTTGACAAAAATCATATGCTAAATCCCTATCTTCTAGAGTCTTCTTATCGGGTGATGATGTATACGAAGTTAAGATGGTGTTCTTCACTGGTGGTATTTGACGACATAAATGCTACACCGCTTGTTCTATCGAATATCAGCTGTCCAATTCTATTTGGTGTTTAATAGTTGCTGATTAGATTTAACCCTTAAACTGAGAAAACTCTGACCAATTTCACATCTTTTCACTGTCATTATTCTTGTTATTACTCTATTATTATTTTATTATTATTATTATTATTATTACGTAATGTTTAGTGTTCTACGTGAAATGGAATCAGTCAAAACCGATGCAATAATATTGGATTCTGATTTGAAATCACTACAACATGATAATCTTCAAGTGAGTAACACTTATGTTGTTGTTGCTGTTCTTGTATATAGTGCTGACTACTCTTTATTGTAGACCTGGTCTTTTTGTGTGTATATCTTGATAGAAAGGACTGCAATCTATCTAAGTATACTTAAATTATGTGAGTAATATATATATATATAACCATCTAATTCAAGGGTGCTCAAGATGAATCCTACTCAAATGCTACATTGGACAATGAAATATAAAGCACCTTAACTAGACTCATCAAATAAAGACAGTCTGTGTAGCGAGGTGATGGGAAAACACAATCACATTCATTCACTCTACTCAAGATTCTGGAAAAATCTGTTAATGAAGAGCTTTACAATCTCCGAAGAATCTTAGAGGGTAAACTGCTTCATGACCAGATTTATGGACATAAAGCTGAATTGTCCCAGATTACCCCTATAAGGAATTTTTTCTTTAGAAATCTCGAAATTTAAAAGTGATACTGAAGCAAAAAATCTCTCAGTAAGACAAACTTTGCTGACAGTCTATGAATAACTCTGCCTTTCAAGAAACTATTCGCCCAGTATGTTGAAGACAAGCTGTTTCTTTATGCTACACCATCATGAATATATCATTTCACCTGCTCCCGTGGAACTGGAGGACACTAACTGTAATATACATGTGCTTGTAAAAGCTGAGAATGGAAGTGTATCTATATTTTTATAACAGAAAATCGCATGAATTTACGGCACTGAGCTTCATTTGAGAAATCTTTCAAAGTCTAACAAAAAACCTGGTAGAAATTGCTCAAAGAGATTGAGGTAAAAACACCCCCATGCGAATTTGATGCATTAGCAATCCGAAAATTCAAGCCAACGCCACTATAAACAGTCTGTTTTCACAAAGAAATCATTATTACCCAAACTTCCTGTTTACTTTTCTTATTTTCTTATGTTTTTAATTTCTATTTCCACTACGCGAAATCATCTTGTTATTTGTCGTATTCTCACCTTTGACCCGGAATTGTCCTGAAGGTTTCTCAGATCATTTTCATATGTTTCCACTAAATTACAGCCTACTTGATGGCTTCGTGCGAAAAAAAGTTTTTTCTGCCTGCCATTTCAATAGAAAATGAATTCAGGTGGACCTAGGTTCTATCAAGCAGACCTGGAATACACAAACCAAAATCCTTCTTCGACCAGTCCTTTCACTTACAACATATTACTTAACCAAGAAAGAAATCTATAGGAAACTGAAGGATCTACTGGAGTCATGAATTCACTCTGTCATATCCTCAACTGAATTTCTGGAGAAAACTGAAGCCATTAAATCAAATAAGAATGAGGTTATAGCACCTTTTGATATCACAGCCCATATATGCTTTGATTGACAAGAACTGAGAAAATAAACAACGAAAGACAAAACCCTTGTACCAGAAGCCGATGGAAAGACTAAGCGATCTGGACTTCATAGACCATTTTATGTTTAGTGCCACACAAGCTCGAAGATCTACACGTGAAAACCAACAATTTATCAGGAGAGACAAGCAGTGAAGACATGAATTCGACTGAACACATAGAAGACAGAGGTTATGAAGACACGTAAGGAATAAGGTGAAGATGCAGAGGACGAAGAAGAAGCATGAATCAGCATCAACGGGAGACACTCAAAGGAACTTAGGACTTTCACTTACCTGACTGACTAGAGAGAAAGGTTTGTCTCAACTGCAGACAGGCAGGACAGATGAAGATGCGAAAATGAGGATTGGGGAGACAAGACAAGTCTGGATAACTGTGAAATCAATGTGGAAATCTGCTGTAGTGAGCATGTATAATGATATATATATATATATATATATATATTCAACCTTAATGTCAAGTCTTTCAACGCTTGTATATTGTTCAGATACTTGTAGCGTGTATGACGATGAACATTTCCAACAGGCTGCCGTGGACTTCTATTGACACCTAATACTTTCTCTCAGTATTCAAAATGGGACAGCTGACCAAAGCTACAAGGAACTGTGGCAGGCAACAAACCAACTGAGATTCGGTTGCTTAAACAAGACACGTGCAAAAGAAAATGGAAATGGATTAGACGTAGGCTGAGGAACAAAAGTAAAGCTAATGGATAGTTGCGAAACCAGTGAAAAGTGACTTCAACGAACAGAGTGAATTGGATATGTGTTGTTGAAGCCCGCTCTTCCACTTAGAACCCAAGGGAGTAGTAATAATAATGAGTGTCTCTTAACTGTTCGTGTTTAGTAGTTCACAGTACCTTTTTTCTCTTTTTGTACAATGTGTTTATCCGTTTGAACTTGAAATATTCATTCCTTTTCATGGGTTTTAACTACATACATCTAGATGGATAATAATAGTCAAAGTATTGTTACTTCACTTGTTGAATTGGATAGAACACGAAGAAATGCTCAGTCAGCTGCAGATGCTCTACGTGAAACAGATCGTTGGATTAATTTAATTCAGTGTATCAACGAGTTATTTGAAACGGAAGACTTTGACCAGGTATATGACTTTTCTTAAACATATATTTATATTTCCCAATGATTGGTTTTTTTAACTGGAGGGGAATGATCTGTGTGTGTTAACATGTCGGTTCCTGGAATGGAAGCGTTAACGATGATTAACATTGTGTTATTTGGTCGATGATGACTTGTAGTGGAATCTAGGACGCCTAGTTCGGTACTACTTGGAACTCTTCGGGGTACTTTATCTGACTGTCAGTGGGAACGCGATTACGCAATGATGATGCAGATGTGTGTATATGCTGCTGATGACTCTCAAATTGGACGAAGTGGCCTCTTGGATTCTACTACCAGCCACACTACTTACCAAATGACGGGTATTATTTAACCTGTTTATACATACTGATTGATTTTGTATCATGCCTTTCAACTGATTACTTGTAAATCTGTGGTACATTATATATCTGTTGACAGTAGAATGCTAGTCAGACGTTGCCAGGCCCTAATTTAACTCATGCCTGAGGCATTCCTAAACCCCGCCCAGCCTTTAATAAGACTGGAAAAGATGGAAGTTAGGGCGTGTGAGGTCAACTTCACCCCACAGTATAAAAAGTGACATCATCGCTACTGAAATTTGAAAGCTTGAGGTCTCTAACCCTGTACTAAACTCTGAAGGTAAGGAATGACGAGGTGTATTATTCATATTATGAGCATGAATCTTGTCTAATGTACTGGACTCAATTAAGCTGTGTTACTTGGTAGACACCGCAGGTCACGACTTCTCACCAGAACTTCAGGTAATTTCATCCTGTAGTAGTACTAATAGGAAGTCATAATAAGTGGGATCCACAAAGTTTGGCCTGGAGACAAATACTCACGAATGACATTAGCCGTTGGTTGCGCTATACTGCGAATCGGTAGAAGGTAGAATTCATGGGCCATTGAATTCTGTCCCAGTGACAGAATGATCACCGAGCTCGTCTTGTAACCTGAAGGTCCTGGGTTCGATTACCCGTGGGTGGGGTTATAGATGCGTACTGCTGTAGAGTCCCAAATACTAGGACGAAATAACTGTCCGTTACTCCTGCAGGATTTCATTTGTTGTGTAACTGAAGTCAGTTCATAGTCAAACTTGAAATCAGTCAAATCCCTGCAAACTAACATCGGGAAACTTCAACTGTGTTATACATTTAGTGCATAATTCTGCATAAATTCAACCTTATGTGTGTCGTTTGTTCATCCCTTTATCCCTAATGACTCGTTTACCATCTTGATGATTTGTAGTCTGAAGAAAAATCAATCCTTCGGTTAATAATAAGGTGCAAGCTTTTAATTTGAGAAGTCGAACCCTGTCTATCTAAGTCAGTTTTAGAGGACAGTTTAACACAACAGTTGCAGTGTATGTCATTACACAAGCTTCCTACATGTTTCTAAATCAATTTTATATTTTTCGATGTCTATCAGAGTACTGCTCCACCACGTGATACAATCTCTGCATACTTGATTGTGAGTCTCATATAATTTCTAAGGGTTTAATACTACTTCTAAGTCACTTAGGTTCGAGTTGATTTAGGTTAGTTTTGTCGTCTGTGGCTCACCACTAATAATTAAATGTAGCTTTTTGGCTTCAATCATTGAGTTACGAATTCGTATCACACTTCATCTCTACTTCGGCGTAGGCAACTGTGAAGCATTTATTGCCAACTAACTTCACCCCGCCCCACACATATATTCTAAATATGCGTGGTTTCTTGTCTGATGTACGTGGAGGTAACTGATTCACCTTACTGAGTTCTAACTAAGTGTAGTTACAAGTCGTATTTATTTTTAAAATTGAAATTTTACTATATATATAGTATTTTTTTATGTATAGTATTTATAATCATTATTACGTTTTTTACATTTCTCAGCTTTGTTCCACTATTGAATCTATGGATCAGTGTTTAGTAAGTTAATTTTTCTTTATTTGATAGAAAGTGCTCATGATGAACACAAACGTTTTTATGGTACATTTTAATCTGTTAGAGTTTTGGATTCAAGAACAAACTCCCACTCTGATATCTGATAAGTTATATATTAATGCGTGAAGAAGATATTTCTCTTTTCCTTTCATCCAAGAAGTGTTTCTCAGGTCGGTTGATAGTTTTAACATGTTGTACATACTCTTGAACAATGTATAGATTGACTGCCGAATCTCCACCACAAACTTCATTGACTTCAAAAAAATGTCTTCATTAGCGTCGACCATGAAGTGGTTCGAAAAGTGCTTCAACACTATGCAGTGCACCACTTCAAAAATTTATAAACTTCATTCAACAGAAATATGAGGATGCACAACAGGCCAAGTGATTCACAACGGAATACTCATAGAAGCCTTTGAAATGAAGACAGTAGTAAGACAAGTGTGCCTACTATCAACTATGATATTTCTGATTGTGGTGTACTAGATCATACCCCACAGACTATAAGGAGCGAGAAGATGGGTGTACGATAGGTCGATGGAAAGACTAAGCGATCTGGACTTCATAGACAATTTATGTTTAGTGCCTATCTTCTCACTCATGACCCAGTTCGCCACAATGATAGGTGGTAGTAGGCTGTTTTGTTTTACTCCTGTATCCATTTGAAAGACTTCTATGAGTTTCCTGTTGTAAATCACTTCACCTGCGGCTTATCACCTAGTTGTTGAATGAGGTTTATGAATAGTCATAGCAGTGCACTTCATAGTGTTTAAAACAGGTGCCAAATTGCTTCCCGATCATCGCTATCGAGAGACCTTCTGAGTTAATGAAACTGAGGCGAAGAGTTAAGTACCATCTTCGGCTGTTTTCGATGATGATGATGCGTAACGTTGCTATTTCATTCTACCATGACTTGTTTTTCCTGAGTTCAGCCTGTTGTGCATGTGATTTTGCATCCAAACATGTCACTGTTTAATATTTTGCTTTGTATGCACACAAGAGTGATTCAATGCCAGTCTTTGCATAGACTTAAATGATCTTTCTTTTGGAACTTGACAGGTAACCTTCTTACCAGACAGTAGTTCACTTTCCTCCCCTGTAAACCTTCTGTTCGAAATCAAAGATGACTTATTTCACATTTTCGATTTTCTAGTTTTACTTGAACGAATGACAGAATGGTCGCCAACTATACATACAATACGGTTTCGATTCCCGGCCACCTGCGCACTACTAGGCCTCGCGTAACCAATGGTAAATGTGGAAAAGAGGAAAGACTGAACGTTAGGCTAGCAACACATCACTTCGTCAAAGACAATACTACCGCTACTGAAACTTCGAAAGCTTTGAAGCCTTATATGGCTCTGGTTCAAGGTAGCAGGAGTTTTAAAAAGTACAAATTTGATTGACTATTAGTTAGACTAACTCATAGTCAAACGTAACGCATACTTAACTTTGACTGACCCGTGTCCCGATTAGATATCTCACTTTCTTTGTCAAAATGTTTGTCTGTTGTAATAATAAAATGTTTACTGATGAATTTTTTCTGTTAATTTTAATTAAATATTATGTTTTCAAGTGTTATTCTGCAAAGATTTGATGGGTTTAACCTTAGTTCATGAACTGACATCACTTAGAGAGAGAGGGAATCACCGAAAAATAATGAACACTGGACACGTGTTTCCTCCTGGTCTGGAACCTTTCAACAGTATGTACTCCATTATCCCACTCACATCGGATGAGGAGTATCCAACGTAGATTAATTTTCAGTCGTTGGCTTGTAGGGGTTTGGTGTTTTAATCGAATCTTCACTAGTAACTGACTACTGGAACCATCAGTCAATGTCATCGGTAAAATAACTGTCCCTTTACCTGATTCGGTTACGACTTCTCACTAGAACTCTACATCTCTGTATGTGTATGCTATATGTGAAATGAAATTCTTCTTATTGTTGCTTTCTTTGTCTTCTTTAGATTTCATTGATCTATGTGAATGACTATGAAGAACGTGTCAAAGCTGTTGATAAATATAAAAACAACTTAGAAAGTTTAATTGCACCACAAATAATTCAATCCTTAGATGAATTGAATTCAATTATAATGCAAAATATACATGTGATGATGAACAATGGAGGAGATGGTGACGAAGAAAACGACTATGGAAGTGATTATTATACGTCACTGCCGTCGCTGACATCACTGTCAACCACGACAACGACGAAGACATCGACATCTGTACAACCATTCAATGATTATCGTAAATGTCTGAGGAAAACGAATCATTTACTAAATTTATTATTTCGTATTGGACGTGAAAATGCTGCTAGAAAATATTACACTAATTGGCTGAAAGTAAGTGGTCTTACTAGATTCTAAAGTAACATACCGATTTCATGTGTCTGTCTTGTTTTTCTAATAATAATAATAATAGCAGCTTTAAATGCACAGAATCACATACTACTGATTGATTGGGATGAGTAGCAGTTGCATATCACTCACTAGCTGCAAAACGGGTGGTTTGAACAAAGTGATATTTGGCTCTTTGAGCTAAGTCAAACCGGATACATTGGTGATTAGTAGCTCTTCTCTAAATGAGTGAAATGGCTATGAGGTGTTTAGATCGCTTAGATCTGGCTAGCATGTACTAACTACTGTTACTACTGGGCCAACCAATCAGGAAATAGAGTGATTTCTGCGTTTAAAATGAAGTTTATTTACAAAAGAAATATAGAGTATAATGATAAAACACATGAAAAACAGGATATTTTTCTCTGACATGACTTCAAAATAGCTCCCAGTCATAACAAGGAGTATCAGTTTTTAAGTTAGACCAGTTTCTGTACATGTATTCACCGAGGTGACTGAAGATGAGCTTTTCCAGTGACTCGTTTACGCCTCTTACACTGTTCTGCAGTCTTCCCGAAAAGCCCTCGATTGAATTACTATGGCTCCCAGTAAGAGGAAGAGGTGGATAATAAAACTAATTAAAATAAAATAATACCAATCCTAATCCTAACCCTAACGAGCTATTAACACATTGCCAAAGCAGTGCTTAAAAACGTGGTAGGGCTGAAATATACACCTTAATTCGTGAATGGGATTCACATTGTCGCTACAATAGTGGTGAAGTCCCGCCGTTATCTAACGACTAGTATGCGTTCAAGGTCACTGGAGTGTTCGCACTCTTTGGCCCCTATACTTTAACTCGGCCTAGATGTAAGTGTGTGTAGAATGAGGAATCTATCTCAAGTAACTGAGTTTTAATTATGTAATAGAAATATATACATAGGTGAGTTGTATTTGTTATATTCTAGAAATACCTCTGTCTTTTTATTATGCCTAAATACATGCTCTTCAATCTTTCTTTCTTTACAGGATCAGTTGACTAGTTTTTGGAATCGCAGTATGTCTCAAACAACAACAACAGAATCAGCCACATTAACAATGACAACAACGGCGGCAACTACAGATACAATCTTGTTAACATCACTTGTTCAAGATTTATCTGCCTATCCATCTAATTTAATCGGAGTTGAGAAACCAACAAAGATGAATTATTTATCGTTAACAGTTTCTGAGAGTGATAAAAATTCATCAATTAGTATCAAGAATATAATATATTTCTATGCATTATTAATTATTTTCTTCAAAGGTCAGGTGAGTAAAATAACTGAGTAGTGGATGAGTGAATGAATGACATAATCGAAAGTTAAATAAGTATGATCACTTTTTTCTTTCGTATTTTTATTCTATTCCTTTGTATATCCAGTGGAACCATAGTGCTTCGAGTCTGAGCTTTGAAGTTTCATTAACTCTGCTGCTGTGGCGTTCCCTACTCATAAGATTTATCAGTAGTGTATAAAGAGATGTTCATCAGCATAAAAACATCAAGTCGCAGGGAGATGTCGGAGAAAGTAAATGATACAGCGTTGCGGAGATACGTGGGAGACGTGAAGGAACGGCAGAAGTAGCAAAACACGGAAGATCTGTGCAAATGGTGCTTTGAAGATAAGGCGTACATAATTTGGCTATATAAGGATACCAAATTGCAAATAAACATTCCTTTACTAAGTCCGTCGTCTTCTACTGTTACAGTGTCACTCGTTTTTACGGGGTCCTAGGCTAATCTCACCTCTTTTTTCTGAAGTTACTACTGACCAAAAGGAGGTTTTCAAACTATAAGCCTGACACTTATTGCTCAAGAGCTTATGAATCTATATCCATTTAATCCACCCAATCAGGCTGAAGTGGTTCAAGACTCGAATCCACCACCTTTTTTTTATTCCCAGTGGAACATAGAGCTTCAAGCTTAGAGGCTTGAAGTTTCAGTAGCAGTGGTGTTTATTTTTACGGGATGAGGTTGCTAGTCTCATCCCCGACCTTCCCTCTTTACCAGTCTTATTACTGGTTAGCCGAGGATCGAACCCCGGACCACATGCGTGGTTGGCGAGAATTTTACCGCTGTGCCACCGACGCCAGCACCCATAGAGAATGAAAATCAAGTGCTTTAGGCGAGTTATCTACCTATCCATTGTGATGGTTATACACTAGTCGTACTATTTTGTGCTGTTATTATTGTGAAAGGAGTGAAGTCAATTAAAATTGATTATTTTCATTTTTGAAAGCATTTCTTTCCCTTAGTAAATTTAAATTCATAAATTTCAGTAGAACTCGTCAGCTGAATACTCCTCTACAAACATTGTTATTTATATAAATTTTCTAAGGTTAAAAACATACAATCACATGAACATTGTGACGACAAGGAACCTTTGTGCAAACCAATAAATGAGTCTAACATATGTCAATCATATAGGAATAAGCATATCTGATCTAAACTCATAAGATAGTTTGAACACTCCTCACGAAGAATAATACTCAACTTCGATTTTTCGATTTGCACAAATCTTGAGAAAAATAATTATTAATTTAGTAAATAGTTTAAGAAGATTGTAAAGAGAAGAGGGAAGGGAGGTAAAACTATGAAGGTAAAATAAAAGTATGCTACCAAGGCAGATTTAAGGTGACTACTGTCCCCTTTTGTATACAGAGATTCGGCTCCTTTAATTTGACTGCGCAAGTTTCGGCAAAGTCAACAGCACCCTTTACTACCTTGCTTATTAATAACTATAAAGCTTTTACTCAACCTCACCGTATGATCACAGTCCAATAAATGTTGTGCGATTGAGGTCCTTGGAATGCCATCATGACTACTAAAAAGGCGATTGGGGCAGTATTCAGCATCGTGAGTCGAAAGACATCTTTCCGTATGCCCAATACATTCGCTTGCACAAACACATGGAAATTGATTTAGTGAGAATCGATATCTTATCTTTACCTACTGCTTGCATTACCCCCGTTGTTGTGTTTATGAGCTACATATCAGCTGCATAATAGATTCGTCTAATGACTTTTACAGTTGTTGATTCTTTTATATTTCACTTATATTTTTTATTCTCCTTGTCTTATATCTTTTATTTTGTTTATTGATACAGTTAAGAGCCAAATTATTTACAGCACCACAGAAAGAACAAGATTCAACTCGGCCATCTTATCCAATTGGAATACTTGTAGATTTTACTGAGTCGTTGGAGTCGCTTAAATCATTTCAAAAATTTACTAATTCAATATCTGATTATCATTTACTTGGATGTTTGTTCCGGGTAAGAACTTGATTGTGCATTTTATTGCATGTGTATACAATAACAACGTTTTCATATGCTACTTTGATTGATTGATACGAGTAGTTGGATGTATATCACTTACATCATCAACCAAATAGTACTTGCTAGCCATATCGAAGTGATATCTAACCACTGGATGGTTGCGTCGCAGGTTTCAGATCGAGCTCCTCATCAATGGTTTGTTTCCAGTGTGACTGTCGAATCAGTTGGTTCGATTTGTGGTGTCGGCACTTGCGTATGGTGAAGGCGTTGACAACTCGTCAATACAACCCCGAACTCTGCATACAGAAAAAGTCTGTCCAGTCTCTTATTCTACCATGATCTTGAGCTCTTTATTAATCGTTCCATGTAATTTTTTATTTTTATTTTTAATGATGAGTTTGCTTTTTCTTTAGTAATTAATTCACTATTATCACTCTCACATGTTCCTTGCGTACATTCTCTCACCTTCTTCACATTTCTTAAATGGACACTGAACCACCTTTATTCTCACTCAACAACAATTTTAACCTTATCGAATTTGTAACCCTTTCTTCCTTTGTACCTTTGAGCATTAATTAATTTATAACTTTTAGTTTTACTTTTGAAACCACTTCTGAGAAATTATATCAATTCTGTCGACCCTCCCCCTAATAACTCAATAATGGACTACTACACAATTTTGATAGATATAAATACGACTATACAGCCTCTGAAGATGATTTCGCCAATGAGGGAAATTTTCTTCGCTGAACTGTCTTTAATGTTCTTCATAACACATTTTAGTTAAATATTTTTATGATACATAATATATTTTATTCTTTTTTTCGTTTAGGTAACTGTGAAATGTTTACATTGTTTTGAAGAACTTCTAGTTCCAATTTATTCTGGTGGGTGTTGTCTGCATTCCTTTTGCATCTTAGTTTTGTTTTCTACTTATGTTTTGTTTTTGATGTGGCTTTATATGTTGTTATTATCAAATATTTTTGCGCTTTATTTGACCGACAGTCATTGCTGTCTATTTATCGACACGACTACTTGTATCAATCAATCAGTAGTAAGCGCCGCCTTGCTATATTAAGTGCTTTTTGTGTCATCGAACAGATCACATAGAAATGTGAAAGATATTATTAGCATTATAAAATAAAGGATGCAGAATTAGTGAAGTATATAAGTATAAAGAAAATCTAAAAGTTGTATACACAACCGTGGTATGACAGTGATTGATATGACCTTTCATGTTATAATGATGCTGAGATGTGCAATAGGCAATTTGAAGGAAGATCGAATACGCTTTTCTCTTTCCTCAATATCGTCTGATGCCAAGATCCCAAGAAGAGATCCGTGGAGAAGACTGGTCCGTGTCGTTTAAAAATAAAGACTTTATTAGCAAAACAATATATATATATATATATATATATGCAAGTGTTGACCATAAGCTGTGAACCCAGCAGTTTGCAATCTACGCAGTTCGAGTGGTAAAATTCCACTTTAGTTGCCTTTGGGTACTAAGTTATTCAGATCACCACAATATGTGATCTGCTTGGTAATCAAGAAAACAAGCCTATGTGCATAAAACTATATGCTACTGATTAAGCGAAATGACTAGTTGCATACCATTCCTATGAATCAGTAGTATATAGTTTTATGCAAAAATTGCACTCGAGAACACTTCACCACCTTGCATGAAGAGACGTTTAGGGATATCCTCAGAAAATCTATTAGACGCTTTCCTCCCAATCCTTCCTATGTACTTGCTCCTGCAAGTATAAATGAGTTGGTAAGTGCAGCATAAATTCGAATGAGCCGGATACTTATTATCTACTTTTGATTGAGTTAACTAGGATAACTTGTTGTAAAGCGGAATTAGTTTGTCGGTAAGAAATGTTCCCTTGTGGATACTTCTTCGCCTTTGTACGCTAAACAGATCAAATCTGGTTTCTTTTAAACTGTTTCGAGTGTCAGTGTAGGCTTTTTTTCATTTCTATATTTTGATATGAACTTTTTGGGGATATCTATTTTCCATAAGGTTATTTCCAACAATCATGAGTTCCTCTTTACACCTTAGCTCTCCTGAAGAGCGTATTGACCAGATTTCATTTGTTTGTTTTATCTGCAACCTTGTGATGACTACTAGATAAACAGGTAACCACTAAAGTTCGATGCGACCAGAGATATTTTTTATTCCTTCACGTTCCCAGTGGAACATAGGGTTTCAAGCTAAGGGCTTGAAGTTTCTGTAGCAGTGTTTATTTTACAGGATGGGGTTGCTAACCTCATGCCCAACCTTTCCTCTTCACCAGCTTTAGTTCTGGCTTAGCGAGGCATAGGAGTGTGCCGGCCGGGGATCGAACCCCGGACCATATGCATGGTCTACGAGCGTCCTAACCGCTATGCCACCGACCGGAGATATTTAGCGGTATTATTGATAGGTTCTTGAATGACCCCTGTACCCGTCAAAGTTCCTTGGCGCTTATCCTTTCTGGCCATCTGAATTCATTGATACGTTTAATGAGTTTTAATAATCAGTGGGAAAGAGTGGAAAACGCACAAATCTGGGAACAATGTTCACAACAGAATTATCTTAAACATATAGGGAAGAAAATCTGAGGGTAGACAACTAAATAATAGTAGTAGGTGTTTCTTGTATTGTCTAAGCTGAATGGTTTGATTACAAAACTTTCATTCTTCTTCTAGATATCTTCATAAATTACATAATTATCTCTCTTTACTGTCACGTTGACTGTGGTGAACTGCTTATTTACAGGAATTTTCTTATCCTTGTGTTAATATATCTGCTTACCATTCTTCCTTCCTTCTTCAGACATTACACGGAGTAGTCAATGTTCCAATGATGTGAATAGTTTTGCTAGTAATGATAGTGATAATCATCATCATAACAAGGTCAAAGATAATTTTGTTGAAAATTTCAAAAATGCTTTCACTCGATTCATTCAAACAATGATCAATCCATTTATAAGTCTACCAGAATTATTTGCTAAGCATATACGTCAACAGTTTGATCAAGAGTTGAATAAATTGAATATTGTAAGTTTTCTGTCATTTTGTTTTTGTTGCTTTTCGTGTCCTTTTCAAATGACTCGTGAATTCTTGACCTGAAAGCGGAATTCGATTCCCTCGACTGAGAGGTACTATGGTGATGTTTGGCTGTGAAGGTAATGCGGAGAAAATACACTCCACTCATCAAAGCACTCTACTCGAACTCATGCAGCCAGGTAAGAGCTTATGGCGAGTTGTCAGTTGAAGTGGTGACAACCAGTGGTGTCCGTCAGGGATGCTCACTGTCCCCATTTCTCTTGCCCTGTCGTTTGTTCACATTTACGTATGCTTTTCTTAAGTGTAACTAGTTGAATAATTTCAATTTGATGGCGAATTCTACATTCCTAAGGGAAATGCTCACTGACTTAAAGAGATTAAACTGTTATGACTGTTATGGATACAGCAAATTTTATCACAACGTTTGATATGATTATGAGCAATAGTTTGTGCTCGAAACGTCATCAGTTAATATTACGGTATAACACTGTGTGATTTATCAAAATAAAATCTTATCCATAGTGGAGTTATACTCTACCACAGTACCCAAGTTTTATACTTACATTTGATTGCCTCTAGTTTTCTTTCTCTGTTGTCTGCTAGGCAACGAATCACTTTCCCGTCGAATGCTAATCAATATCATGTGGTAGTTGCTTGCACATTATGACATGTATCGTTTAAGAAAGTTAACCCCAGTTCTGAACTCCTTCAGTGACCTAAGGATTAATTTGTTGACAGGGAACAGTCTCGTCGATGTAGAGTATGTGGATTGTATTGTCCTTCTGCGTGAAGACGTTGACAAAATGCATAGCCTTCTGAACACCTTGAACGGAAATCCTGGAATGCTTGGCATACGATTCACTATGGTCAAATGTGAGGTGATGTTGCAGGACTGGTCTGCACGAACTTCAAGTTGAGCGTGTTGATCACACTTATTTATGGACTGATTTCTGACGAAATCTCAGCATGGATACAAAAGTGTTTCCTGGCATTTGCCATCTCGCATTATCTACTAGTCGATGAAAAGATGTATGTACTAAGCAGAATTCCGTTCCGTCCATCTTTATGGGTGTGAGATATGTTCGTTGAAAGTGGAAGAACTGAAGAGACTAGCTGTCTTTGACTACATGTTTGTTTGAATTCTATCTCCCGTATTAAGTGGTATAATATGGTGAGTAATATTTAAGTTAAGCATAGTGTTAGATGATAAAGAAAAATCTCTTGATGGGGTTTTAGGGTTACATTGATGGAGATGCCTAGGACACATGTTAAGCATGCCGAGGCATCACCTTCGTCATCGAGCAAAGTTGGTTGACATAGAACTAGTTTGGACAGGAGAAAGAGGTAGTCAATTCAAAACCTGACATCAATCCATGAATTCCTTGACTGTTGTTTTAAGTTAGCCACATATAGGGAAGTGGTGTAGACGTGCCTAGTTGACGTCTTCGAGACTCTAATAACCACTGGTTGGAGATTACTGATGATATAGCTGAAGATCTGTCCCAATGGCTTAGATGCATTCACTGTAATTGTAATCCTCAAGACCAGTTAAGTCCCTAGATTTTTTTCCGTGCCACTGCTATTCTGCCAGTATTATACTTCTGTCCATTATAGTTCTTTTTGAGTTTTCTTTTTCTCTTCTCTATCTTTGTGTGACATATGGTAAGGTTGTCATTACCTTTCCAATTTCACTTTAATAACACTCTATGTAATCTTTTCAGAAAGTTAAATTAAGCTGATTGATTTTGTAATCAGTAAACTAACTGAATAGAGATTGATTGCTTTTTATCATAAATAATTAAATCATTAATTTTATAGAACCCTCCAAAACACATTTTTGTTTTTTTGTTGATTCTGTCTTCTGCATTCATCTTTAGTTTGTTATGAAATATGATACTTAATATAGTTATTCCATATGCAAACAGTATGATTCTATATGTTCGTGTGTGGGTGTGTGGTGGGCGTATACACTTACAGTTTCCAGTTATATACTACTAATTGATTGATATGAGTAGTTTGATACCACCATCCATATCAACCAATAGTGCTTGCTAACCAAATCGAAATAATATGTAAACACATGATGGTGGTTTTGGTTGTTTTTTATGGTTGTACTCATCAGTGGTGACTACTACAGGTTGGAATTCATTCTGAAATAAGGCGGAATAGATTTCACATGTTTTTGACTATGAGTCGCACTTAGTTTGCGAAGGCTAATGGCCCTAGGTGTAGCGGGATTCGATCACGGGACACGTTAGATGGAAACTGAGTTCCAATGAATCAGTGAGCCATATCTACTTCCTAGATGATATATATATTACCACTTCAGCCATGATGGTATGTACTACTGATTGGTTCTTGTTGGCTAGTTGAATACTACTCACATCACCAACCAAGTCGTGCCTGCCAACCAGCGAGATTGGAGTGATCTCTGAACATTGAACGGCTGTTTCGCTTATTTGAATCAGCTGTGTGAGCTGTTAATGATCATATCAATAGTTTCAATGTTAATAGTTGTTTCTCAACTTTAAATTTTACTTTTCCTTTTTCTCTGTGTAATCTCTTTTTCTATTTTGTCTTCCTCTCCACACCCCACCCCACCCCCTACTTTTAGACAGTCGGCAACAATCCATCTGATGTATGGAAAAAGTTAAATGAAGATGTTGTCAGTCGATCACTCGGTTTATTTTATGATGCAATTAACTTGTGTCTGGAAGCAACTGGTGCTATAAGTACACCATATATACTGGATATTATTCATGTATGTGTTAAGAGGTGAATGGTTTAATTTTGCTGCTTTTATTAATATAGTATAAATATTCCCATTACGATAATGATAGGAGATGATTTAAACAAACATGTTTCTTTTCAATAAAATTCTCATCAGGCCTTAGAATGAAATTACACAATGGAATATTAGTCACAGGCGTTTGAAACTATCAGGATCAACAGAATCAAATATAATTAAGTAGAATGTGTATACTAGTAGGGATACAGGGGAAAATAACTCTTGTCACATAGTGATTAGATAAAATATAATGATACTATAACACACAGTATATTGATATTGACAATAAAGTTAGTAGTACAAGTAAAAATAATGCTCACAGTTATCCGGTGTTAACAAGAGGAGATAACTATTCCAAGTTGGAGTCGAAAGCCATGGGAGGGAGAGGCGAGGCCACAAGCCTTGATTACTAGCGGGTAGTAAGCCTAGAAAAAGGAGAGGCTGGACTAGATGGAGCCAGCAATCCCACCTACCTCAAAGCTTGAAGCACTTGGAACCCAAAGAAAAGAAAAACATCCATCCATTCATTTCATCTTAGCTTATGTTGTGTTTTTCTCTCAGTAGAGGTCGTACCCTGTTATACTTACTCCCTCATGAAGTCATTGTATTTACATATATGCCTTACAAAATTCATTATATTATGTTATGTTTGTTATTCGCTCCATTTCACTTTACTTTTTTATAGTCCTATTGGGATTCACTTATTGCTAAATGGATGGTATGGAATAATTGGATTGAAAAACAGTTAGTTAAATCTGATTCTGATTTGGGCTATAATCAAGCCTACGGTTTTATGTGGGTAATAAAGTTTGCACATTTAACAGGTAAGTGAAGAAATAAATAAAATCTAATTATATTTATTTTACAAATGTATAAAAAAGGAAGCGTCCAGGCGAATAGTTATTGCTCTCCTTAATATCATTCTCAAGTTGTACAATCGGCTATAGACATATATATATATATATATATATATATATATATATATTAAAAGACGGTCGCAGCCAAGATTTTCTTTTCCACGAATTCATCAAGGAGGCTGTACATTTATGTATTTATATTAAATGTGTGAGAAAGTTCCAGAATTCAAGACATTCAGCCTTATTTCAAAAGTCCTTCAAAGTCATATACAAGATCCTATGAAACTTATCAAAAGGAGTGACATCAAGGCATCTAGGAATTAGCTGAGGCACTGGCTATTCAAAAGCTCCAACTCACGCTCTGTGTTCAAAAGAAATATCTCCTTCCGTGACCATTATGAAAAGTCAGTCCTGTCAACAATGATTATCCTATTACCACCTTTCTTATCCAACCTACCTGTTTATTTTTGTTATTTTCACATTTTTAATTCCTATCTGCATTATTAGATTGTTTTTATGTGTCCGAACTTCCTATCTATTTTATTATTATTACGTCCTTAATTCGCAATTGTAAACGCAGTTAAGCTTTTCAGTAATTATGGTTTTACTATGCTCGGGGTTCGATTCCCGGCCGACGCTCTCCTCAACCTCGCTAAACCAGTAAAAAGACTTGTAAAGAGGGAAGTTTATGAATGAGGCTAGCAACCCCATCGACCCCCCCGTAAAAATAAACACCACTGCTACTGAAACTTCAAGCCTCTAGCCTGAAGCCATATGTTCCACTGGGAGCGTCAAGGAATAAAATAAGTAAATTTTCAAAAAATGTCTTTTCTACCCGATCTTCCTGTCTACTACACTTTTTAGTTTTATTAATTTGACCTTTGACCGGAAATAATTCTGGAGCTTTCTCATACGCTTACTATAAATACACGAATGTACAGCCTTGTTGATGACCTCGTCGAAAAGAAAATGTTCTTCTCTGCAACCGTCTTTTAATAATTCTTACTATCCAATGTGTACATGAGGATAAATGTTCGATGATACGTTTGGAGAGCTAACTCTGAGTAAGTAAAGCCAACTGACTAGTTTAAACGTAGAACTTTGCACTGATGTGCAGGAGTTCGAGTCACCACCCTCCATGTCCATTTAGTACACAAAGCAAGAGAAGAGAGATTAAAAAGACAGATAGTAAACAGAAGTGTGATTGAGGGTAAAAGAATAGTAATATGAGAGGATAATATAGTTTTATTGGGTATTATAAGTCACAAGGAGTGAATGCATCTGCACCAGCCATTGAGAACTATTTCGGGCTATATCACCAAATGTCTCCAGCCTTCATTTGTGTTTACCAACTCGAGGACCCCAATCAACCAGCCAACCAATGTACACTTCCCTACGTGACTGGCCTAAACTAACTTTTGTGGATTTATTTCATCGACTGATGAAGCCATGTTTTCGTTTGACCACCACTAGCTTTCTCTTTTCCAACCTGATCAATCTTATATCAGTCAGGTAAGATTGCCCGTCGGTCGAGAAATGTGATCGATAGCTACGCTAGGTATGCATGCGTAAAACATGTCCTAACCATCTCAATCGATGTAGTTGCTTCACAAACTTGTTAACTGATTTCCTCTCCTCCTTACCTAGCACTCGACCGATGCCTAACCTCAATATTGCTCATCTTATTATACCACATAACAGGGGAGATAGAACGCAGGCACCTATGATCAAAGACAGCTAGTCAGACTTTTCATGTCTTAGACGTTCAGTTGACATGTCTCACAGCCATAAAGTAAGGCCAATATACCCAGGTGCACAGAAGCAGGTGAATTTTTAGATACAAATTGACTAGGCCAGCAACAGAAGCTTTATCCTTCCTGAGAATACCTCATGTCCCACTCATACAGCAAAGGAATGCAAAAACAATAGTTAAAGGAATATATTTAGGATAAAGTTATATATAAAAAATAAATGTAATAATGATAAAAATCTTCAGACTGTTGACATATATTTTCCAGTAAATTCGCTCTAGGCACGATGCGAATTTCTAAACACCAACCATGACCCCCGCGCCAATCCAACCTTAGTCCTGAGCAAATGCTCACGTCTGACTGGAAAATTATCAAGGTTTAATTGGACGTTAGCTTATGAACAAAGTGAAAACATCAAATACCAGAGGAGGAATGACTTGGTTGACTTTGCAAAATCATTTGATGGTAGCTCATCCGCTTAATAGTTTATGCAACAATTTTCTAATGTTATTTATGAGCAACTTGTAACTAGTGTGCTGTGTCTAGTCCTTTGTTTGCTGCAAACTGAATTCTATCAGTCAAGTTTGCAATGTGGCCAGCATTCTAGTAGGTGGCTCGCTATCACGGTGCACTTTGAATTGTTGATATTAGATGGTTGGAGGCAATCGGCAGGAAGCCCTGTTTGACCTAGGTTTCGTACTAATTGGCACTCACCAATCAGCGAGGCGTGTCTGTATCCTTGAAGGAACTCATGTCCCTTCTGAGATTCGGACCCGCATCACCCAGTGCTGCAGTCAGAGACTTGACTGATAGAATCCAGTCTGCAGTAAACAAAATGACTAGATGCACTACACTAGTTACTAACTAGTGTCCAATCAAAGTACCCAATGTAGTCCTACAGGAGGTCAATCACGATTCCGAATAGCTCAGTGATAACATCTCTGACTGCAGCGCTGGGTGACGTGGGTTGGAATCTCAGAAAAGATATGAGTTCCTTCAAGGTTGCAGATACGCCTCTCTGACTCGTGAGTGCCAACTAACACGAAACCTAGGTCCAAGGCTTTCTGCCAACTGCCTTCAGCCATCTAATATTAACTTGTGGCTGGTTGCATAGAAAAGAAATTATGTTCCCACTTTTATTCGCTCTCAATACGTTCCATATGACTTTGTTTTCTTTTCTCTAGGTGATTTAAGCTCACAGTCTGATACTTTTGTTGAATATGCCATGTCAAAATGTACAGATTGGTTGTCACAAGTTTTAAATGCTGATGAAAAGTAAGTTTATTCACCAGTCGCTCATTTGTTTTCCTCTCTGTCCATCTATCTACCTGTGTGGGGTGGGCCCAGGGGTACGTTTGGTGTAAGAGGCGACAACAGTGGCCTCTTTTCTTCATTCTTCCAAATCTTTTGTATTTCATTCAGGATGAATACTGTTGTAACGATAGAACACGGCAGTATTTGATAGCAAATTGTGTATATAGAGAAAAAATGATATACACTGACCTCAGAAATGCAGAAAGCTTACACTGAATTCTCCATTTGCACATGTTCTTCCCTTTGTACTTCTTTTATCATTCTGAGATTCTGTCAGCAGTCAGTCATTTAAAGGCTGATACAACTTCTCAAATAAGTGAACTGGTCAACAAGCTCAGTCACTTGACTGCTCATCTTTAAACTAGGAGTTGGTGCAGACCAGTCCTGCAGTATTATCTCATATTTGACCGTGGCGAATCATATGCAAAACATTCTAGGATCTCCGTTCAAGGTGTTCAGAAAGCTCTTCATTTTGTCAACGTCTTTACCCATAAGGACAATATAATCCACGTAATCTACATCGACGGAACTGTTCCCTGTCAACAAGTCAGTCCACGTAAGTTGCTAAAGTCGATCTCGACCACATTCAGTAGTACATGTATGATTACATCATACAAAAGTAGAAACATTTGGCATCCTTGACAAGACACCACTGATTGTTATCACTTCAGATGACGACTCTTCATAAACTCCTACATGGCCGCATGAATTCAAGTAGTGGCTTAATTAGTATGATATGCATTCTCGGCACTTTTTTCCAGCCTGACATTGCTAGAGTACTCCTCAATCGACAGAGTCAAACGCCGCCTTCAGGTCGAGAAATAAGGCAAGTGTTGGCCACTGGTAACTTTGCCTATATATATATATATATCTTGGAATCTACTGAAGAGTGATGATATGATCAATACATCATGTCCTGTTCTAAAGCCCTACTGGTTTCCCGAGATACTGCTTAATCTACGAATGATTATAGAACCTAGAAGTTTAGATATTACATTAGTTAAGCTTATCCCTCCCCCCACACTATAACCATTAATGGAAGACTTGTCTCACTTTTTATAAACTGGGATAATCACTGATTTACACCACTCTAATAGACTCATCCCTGATTCCCACACACTATCTAATAGTTAACCCAGTCAACAGTCCATCACCACCTCCCTTAACACGCCTGTTCTCATCCCATCAGGCCCTCTTGCTTTACTTCGTTTCAGATGAGGGACACTTTTTGCGACTTTAATCACGGTTGGAAGACCGATGTCGACCTCCCATACAAGTCCGTATTAGATGCTGGGTAATCGGTTGTGCCTTTAAGTCAGTTAAATTGTCCCTCAGTGTTCCCTCCAACGTTCCATTCTTCTCTCCTAAAAGATAATTAGAACACCACTTTTCTCGGGGATTGTCTGGTTTATTATTTGTCTTTTACAACCTGTTTCCCTAATCCTAAATAGTCGTCTGATGTTGCCTATCGCCTATGCCTTTCCCATATCTTTGGCTTTTTTCGCCTACCACTATTTGCGGGCATTGCGAAGACTTTTATTCAGCTTGTATATGAATAGCTTCCGCTCCTCGTCATATTTGGAGCCCTCCAGTATAAGTCTTCGTGCTTCTTTCAGTTTGGACGAGGCAGCGGAAATTCATTGGCATTTACCAACCTTATTTCGTCTGAACTTCAGTTATAGTGTAAGCGGAGATTATGAAAAGACGTCGGCGGGTGTTGGCAATCTTTCCTTCCTCTAACGAATCTGTTCAGTGGGATAGCACAAACACGACTTCTCATGGTGATGCAGTCAAGTGGGGATTTTTCTATCCTAGCAGTGAATAATATTCCTACACCAACAAGTCCTCACGAGCTAGCAGAAGAATTTCCTGACATTCGTAACGTGAATTTTTCAGATTTATTGTGTCAGTCATACAGGGTTAATTGAATAACCACGTTTGAGTCTAGTATGCATGCTTCAATTTGGAGTTGACAGCGTGGTTTTAAGCGAGTCTCAGTGGTCTTTCCCGGCTCTGGCCCGTCCTGATGGTTACAGAGTTAGGAGAAGAGGAATGACCTACCTGTGAAATAATACTACAGTGGAAGGAAGGCATGAAGATGTTGGTAGGTTATGATCAGGAAAGCCTTTTGTGGTTATGGAAGGGTGTGGGTGGTTATAGTTTTCCAGCTGTTCACACCATGAAAGTTGATTTCTTCTTGAAATAGAAAGAGAACTAGTGTTACATAACCGCAGGACTCAGAGAACAACTGCTTGGTGCTGGTCACACATAGTCTGTTTGATTTAGTTTTGGGATTGTATGTCCGTATTAAGACCTTACTGCCGGTTGTGAACTGCCACAAGAAAAAGGAAAACAAACACGGGTCGAATGTTGTTTAGACACATTAGTTTCAGTAACTGAACAAACTTCTGTACCCAGTAGCATTTGAATTCCCATGGGCTTCTGCAGTTTGAATAAGGTCGATTCTTATTCCTTTATCAAGATTCCCACCTCCTATGTAAATGACTCTGAATTTGGTTTACGAGCTCTCATGGTATCTAGAATCTATCAGGTGTTCCAGAATACAGTTGTGTAGGATCGTTTTTCTCTTCTCTAAAACTTAGGGGGTAAATGTTTGATAGCGTGTTTCGATAGTGTACACTGAGTACAGGCGATATAACTTGCTCCATAGTTGTAAGTAAACTGACAGATATATATATTGTAAAAGAGACTAAATTGGTGTTCAGTTGAGATCAAGGTTCACCTCAATGAACAGAACAAAAGGGTTTTTTAGTATTTCTGTCGAAGTCTCCCCACTCACTTGTATATTCAGATAGATAAGCGTTTTCTGGATAATAAGTATGCGCTAACTATTTATTCTTCTTCTATTTTGCGCCTCTAATAATTAGTATAATCACACCTACAGAGAAGAATACCCTGGCCTTCAGTAGTAGTACTGAAAATGATAATAGTAGCAGTAATAATACCACCAATAATCTGCCCTCTCGTATACCAAATATCCTTCTCTGCATCCTACGTCAATTAATTTTCAAACAATCATCAGAATGTCAACATTCAATCAAAATTATAGCACATTCATCTGGTCTCACAGCAGCACCACCAAATGAAATGATAAATCATCAAAAGACATTGACCAGTTCAACAGTGCTGAAAACACGTTCTAATTTGCATGGATTTCATAAGTCGAGTTCTATGCTATGTCGCGCTACAGTTGGTATTGTACGTCAAGTTGCTTTAGCCCCAATACGTTATTATTTAAGACCTGTAAAAGATTTAACCATCTGGTTCACTTATCCAAATAATGGAGAAGTATGTCTACCGGATATGGCGTATCTACCTCAGGATTACATCACTCAAGTAAGTTAGTTTAATAAAAGTTATGTTATTAATAATAATATTATTATTATCACTTTAATGGTGCTGTAACTTTAAGAAATATCCCCTTCGCTAATGATGTGAAGGATTGAGTTGGTTTTCTTGTTCCCCTTATCCAAATGTCGAGAATCAGTGGAAAACTATAGAATCTTAACCCGAATGAGTGTGTACAAGTGAATGATGTTTAGAATTGGAGGAAAAGATTTCGTCTAAAAGGTGTTTCACACTAGACATTTACCTCAACGTAACCCTAATTTACCGGCAATCTAACCCTAACCCTCTCAATTGATAATTGATACTCTGAGGTGGTGGTCGGGCTAGCACATATCGAACTGATCCAACGAGCAGGAGGAATATTCCAGCTGGCCCTATCATGCCAGAAAGATCGTTTTGATTGCAGTTATATAAAGACGATCTATCGTCATTATTATTATTATTAACTTGTGTTCTGAGTGGAACATAGGGCTTCAACAGCACATCTACACTTCATTCTGTCCTCTGCAGTCTTATTTAGATGGTTTTGGGTGGAGTTACGTAGTACAAAAACAGTCAGGAAAATTGGGTGCTAATGAAACTAGTGTAGTAACAAAGGTGATGTTAGAAAGAAGAGAACACAAAGTTCAGCAAAGATATCTTTTCAGTGATTTCATTTTCAAAAGCTGTACAATCGCATTTAAGTACATAATTTTACATCGATACAATTTTTATTTGATTCCACATAATTACGAAGGCGAATAAAAGGTGACAATTATTTTAAACTAGATATGTGGTTTACGAGAGGCTCGGGAACAAAATTACACAGGATTAGAACGAATTACAGGTGTGTTAGAAATGAGCATGGAAACAATTTGAAATAATAATTTTCAACTTGAAATGGAAGTTAGGTGATGAGTTGTCACAAACAGTTGCTAAAATGGAGTTACATAATATTATGAATAGTTTGATAATTGAGTTGTACTCAGGATACACATAGGAACAAAGTAGAGAATACAGAGTTACGTAAGAGTTCTAAATGAATACAAGAATTATAAGCAATTAAAGTACAAACAAAATTAAGTCATCAGAAATCAGCAAAGTTGTTACCATGATAGTAGATGGTTATTTTGGATGCATGTGTACATTCAGTCTGTCAAACAAAAATACAATTGGTTATGGTTATTTTAACTAAACTGGTGAGAATTAGTAAGTTTTGGGTGGAGTTACGTAATACAAAAACGGTCAAGAAAATTGGGTGTTAATGAAACTAGATGGCTCAACGTTTGTCGATAAGATTTCATTTCCTCCTCACACTATCTCCTCCATGCTAAACTCGTTATTCTTCATTCGGGTTGCACTCGAGGGCCTGATGCGTCATGTCACTCGACGTCTCGTTAGCGTATGTCCGGCACCTCTCCATTTTTTCTCGGTGTATTTGTTGGGCAGTAGGTTCTTGGTTGGTTTGTTATTGCTAATCCATTCTGGTCATCTGATCTTCAAAAAAGTCTGCAGTAACCTACTGGGAAGGCTTTTCGTGACACATGAAGTCTCTGGACCATACAGAAGAAGTGAATTGATATTAGTGTTGAAAATCATAATCTTGTTCTTTACATTGAGTGCAGCAAATTTTCACATTGACTTCAGATTAATGAAAGTTTGTCTTGCCTTTACGATCCTCATCCGTGTCCCCGCCTGCAGTTGAAACAATGTTACCTAGCCAAATAAGTGAAAGTGGTGACCTCCTTCCAATTCCTCACATTGGTGGTGATTGATGCTTGTTGTTGTTAAATGTCATGTATTTTCATCACCTTGTTCTTCTGCATGTTCACTTGAAGTCCCGTCTTCTCTGCCTGCTTCTTCTGCCAACTTGTTGGTTTTCACCTGTAGGTCTTCAAGTTTGTAAGACAGACAAAAATCGTCCACAATGTCTAAATCTTTTTAAAGTCTTCTTACTGGTCCAGTTTATTCATGTCTTCTCGCTCCTCACGCTACCCTTCCACCATAAGCAAAGATTTTATTAGTGACAATAAACAACCTTGTCTTACTCCTATCTTCACTTCAAAGGCTTCACTGAGTTCTCTGTTGCGAATCACTTGTCATGTGGCATCATCACATAGGTATTCAATGAGGTGTATAAATGTTTGCGGCTGTGCACTCTGTAGCATTGGAGTTGTTTCCAAGTTACTTCGCAATCAACGCTGTCGCAGGCCTCTTCAAAATAAATGAATCTGAAGTAGATATTTCACTTCCATCCTATGCTATTTTGTATCAGTGATACTCAGCGTTGTGATTTGATCCACATATAATTTGTTTTTTCTTGAATCTAGCCTGTTTCGGGAAAGTTTCGCATTCAGAGCATCTTTTAGTTTCTGCAGCTTGATATGACAACATTTCGCTTGGCTCGTACACGTGCATGATTCTGCGCCAGCTTTTGGAGGGGCCTAAATCACCCTTCTTTGGTAGTAATTTGATAAAGTAACCTTTCTTCCAGTCAGTAGGTATCTTTCCTTTCTTCCACACTTTCCGTAATAGTAGCGTGAGGACATCCTCTGAGGTCTGTGGATCCGTTTTCACTGCTTCGGGGAGAATTCTGTGTAGTCCTGCTGCCCTCTGGCGGGCTTTCAATGACTTTATGGCATTTAAGACTATTATTATTATTTTTATTATAATAATTATTATTATGGATGGAATAATATATGTTTAAGGCCCTTGTGTTGACTGAAGTCTGCGTATTGAATGTTGTTTTTGTAAACTGATGGTCCATTTCTTTCTATAGGCACTTCACTTTCACCCATTACTTTCGAATCTTACTCTCTATCAACCAAGTTTTGAGCATCAAGCTGTCATATATGATGAGGGGAATCTCATTTACATATTTCAAAGGGTTATTGAGTTCCACTGTATGATTGGTATTGAAATGTTATCTGTCAACGACATGAATTAAAACTGTAGTTTTGTCTACAGCTTAGTAGATATAATGTGTTTCATATTGACTTAATTAATCATTAGTCTTCCACCTGATGGGTCTTGGGGTTCTAGTCCCCTCCTACTTACCTACTTCACCCTTCAAGGTAGGATGACTAAATGTTATTACATCAGCTTTCAAGAAGAATAAGTGTAACCCACAGCCTAATGCATGAAAAATCCTTGCCTAGTAATTTGATTCAAACATTGATATTATTAATCTGAATAATTGGGGATAGTATTTGTTAAAAAAAATCTTTCTACATTCATTTACATTACAGATTGGTCAGTATCTGTTTATGCTACCAGGTCAATTGGAACCGTACTTATCAACTGGTACTGATACGAGTCTTGAAATAACTGAAGAAAGTCAATTTGATGATTCGCCACCGTCATTATCATCTACCGGGTTAACACAATGTTTATATTTAGGTGACTTAGAGACTAGTTATACAATTACATCGCATAAAATAAGCGAAAGTCAACAACAACAGCAGCAGCAGGTGTCGCCAACAACATCTTCGGCATTACAACAACAGGAAGCCAGTGGAACAACAACAACAACGTCAAAAACAGCTCGTAAACGGCTATTGAGTAGTAATTTTAGTCATCAAATGAAATCTACTCCAGACAATAATACTAAAACACCGAATGAGTCATTTGTCTACTATTGGTTAGAGAATTTAATTTCTGTTAATGTCTGTGATCTTATTATTAATACAATCTTACAAATTGGTATGAATAAGTCTGCTGTGAAACCATCAAAAACATCTGCTGTAAGTAAAACTTCAAAATCGAATGGCGATGAAGATGTCGACGGAGACGAAAGTGATAATGATGCAGACGACCAACCGCTACTTACTAAACATGGTTTAAAACAATTGGATGTAGACTTGGGTATGGTGATTTAAAAATGTTAAATATTTCTGAAGTATTATGCTACTTGTACGTTGATAGTAGTTCAATGGGCAGGATGCTCGCGCCAACTATGCGCCACACATAGTCTAGGTTCGACCTCTGGCCACCAATACACTTCTGAACCTCGCCAAATTGGTATTAAGCACGGTAATTAAGGAATATTGGTAACTAAGTGAGTCTACCGACTCCAGCTCTTAAAAAGAACGCCACTCTGTTGAATCTTGAATCCTTATGTCTCAATTGGAATGCAGAGGAATGAAAATAATATTGTTACCTGTCATAATTAATGTTATGACAATATGAAATGCTTTTCAGTATGGATTTTATCATGAACTAACCATCATTTAGGGAATCATTGTGAAATTATAAAGCACTGGAAAACTGTGTCTATTCTAGTCTGTTACTCATTTAGCAGTGAGAACTAAAAATGAATAATATGCATTATGTAGTCATTATTGCTACTACTTTGAATTTCTTCATTGACTGATTTCATTGGAACACAATATGTTCAGACCCTGTTGACATGTCGGCTCCTCTTATGGTTACTAGGGCGATACCTTTAGGTCAACATGGCGTTATTTGTTTTTGTCAGTTGCTAACAGTTGAAGCCGGGACGCGCGTTTCGTCCCACTCAGAATACCTACCTCATTTGGGTGTGTACCTGTATTCCAAGTGAGTGATGGTGTTCTCACTGAGACTTGAATCATGTTTTGTCTTAATTTGGGACTTTTCAGAATTACGTTCTGTGATTAAACCCAGAACATTCAAGTTACTAGGGGATCCCATCAGTCACTGGAGTGGAATCCGATATCCTACGAATTCTTACTTCTATCAATTCGTGACTTATAGTGCCAGTCAGCTGCATCAACAAGTGTTTGCTCTCTCACACCCGACTTGGTGGACCTCACTCATGACTTGCTTACTTACTTAGAACTCAAGGAACTCCATCTCTCTAAATCAGTCATCAGTGAGCATTAGATCAGTTTTCAAGTTTTAGTGTATAGGGTTTTGATTAATTGACGAATCCGCAGAAGTTAAAATTCATAGGCCATTGAATCCTATCTCTGGGTCTCCAATGGTCAACGAGCTCGCCTCGGATTCTCTCAGATCCTCTCAGCATCAATGATACAATTGTTTGAACTCATTGAAGTGTGTTCAATTGTCTAAGATTCTCAACTTTGAAACAATGAATTTCCGCTCATATCTTTGTCCTAGCTGTTTTGATTTGTCTGACTAACATTCACATATCATAAAATATCTTTAGTATCACTAAGCTACACTGTTTGCTATCATATAATCGTAATCATTGATTTTAGAAGTAACTGGATCACACTTGATATGGGTTCCTTTTAATTGAGTAGTTGCTAACGTGAAAGACAAGCATTTTATTCAACTACAGTATTTGAACACGGCAAATATATGATTGACACTCTGAATACTTTTCACATACACGGAAGACATATTGAGAAAGTTAGGATTTATTCCTTCAAAATGACCAGAAATAGCTGGTATTTATATACACATAGTTATTTCACACAACCAATAAATAATAATTTGAATGCAGAGATCGTCATGAACCAACATCAGTTAGAGAGAGGTTATTGTAAACCAGAGGGAGCACTGGTTAGCTGTTTCGTTCTAGTTCTGCTGACTGACTGGTTTCAATGTACGACTTTGCACTGATGTGCGGCAGTTCTAGTTGCCACTCTCCCTCCATGTAGCACACAAAGCAAGAGAAGAGAGCATGGGGAGGTTCAAAAGATAGATTATGAACACAAGTGCGAGTGAGGGAAAAAGAATAGAGTGAACGATAGTTTTATTGGACATTATAAATCACAAGGAGTGAATGTATCTGCGCCTGCCATTGAGAACGACTTTGAGCCATATAACCAATTTTATACAGTCACTGGATTTTACCATCCCGAGGACTCCAACCAGGAAGTCTACATCTCCCTACGTGGCTGTCTTAGACTAACTGTTGTGGATTTCATTGACTGATGAAGCCATGTTTTGGTTCGACTAACAAAAGCTTTCTCTTTTCCAACCTGATCAATCCTATTTCAGTCAGCTAACACTGTCCGTCGGTCGTTGAGGAAGGCGATGGCTAGGCTAGATGCGTAACACATGTCCTAACCATCTCTCTCAATCGGTGTAACTGCTTCACAACCTCGTCGATTGATTTCCTCTCCTCCTTACCTAGCACTCGACTGAGGCCTAAATTCAATATAGCTCACCTTATTATACCACTTAACACGGTTCTATGTCTTCACTCTTCAGTGGGTCGCACTCCACTCCAACCCCGGTACCCCTAGGTTGCGAGACCAAGCTCTTTGACCATTCAGCCAGTTGTGCCGAAACTCAGTGACTTGTGAACTCTGAGTTTGTCACTGATCTCTAACTGATGTGTTGGCCCATGATGAAATCCACATTGAAATTAATCTAAATCCCTACAAAGACCCACAATCGAAACTATCAATCTCCAACTCACTGATGGCTACTGGATGATGGATGCCCTGAAGAGCTAGACTCAGCAGAAGTCATGGTTGGCCAGTGGGGTTCAGCACAATGTCCAGATGAAGTGTGTACTCATCGAGAGCATTCGTTGCTTAACAGTCTAATAATGAAAAGTCAATAAGGCAACTTTCGATACAGGATAAGGTTAGGTATATTTGTTCCACAGCCTAATAACATCTGCTCTCTGTCTGAAAAATTTTGCTTTTTGTTTACGGTTTCTTGTTTTTGTTGTTATTATTGTCGTCATTTAGGTTATCTGTTCAGTATGCTACACGATTTAGGCGTTACTGTTCCGAGTAATCTGCAAACATTACGTGATTTAATCAATTGTGATGCAGAACAATTCCCCAAGTTATGCGCTGATCGTCCACCTAAAATTGTAAATACCGTAGCTAATTTCCGTGGTTTTTAAAAGAAAATATTTCTTTCTTTCTGTCTTCTTTTTTTCTATTCTTCCATAAAAATAGACAAACATTTGTTTTGTGTTTTTTTATAAAAAAAAAGGTTGTGATATAATCGCCTTATTTCAATATTATTACTGTATGTATACTTTTTGAGTAAAACGTTGTGTTTAATATTTTCTCAATTTGTGTTTTTTTAATTATTACACTTGTTGAATCATCCTTATTCTTTTGGATAGTAATTTTTAATAGACAGGGACTGTTGATACCAGTTTTAGTCTTTAGTTTAGCTTTTAATAGATCCCTGTCTTCCTCATATGGTTCTTCAAGTTCATCCCATCTAAATTCCAATTAATGAACTAATTAGTTCAAAGTGAGATTGCTAGTTGTGTTCATCAATTAGAGAAACCTAAATCTATTAGATAACAGTCGTAAGAAGTATATCCATAGGGAAGAGATTTCTCATTTAGTGAGTTTACAAGTCGCAGTTTGTACCACTGCTCTCACGATCTGATATAAATGTTGATATTTCATCTAGTTCAGAGATATACTGGTTCTTAGTGTGACAGCTAACATGACAAGAATGCTGCATTAATCCAACGCAACATTTAGTTCTCTTCCGGTGTTCCAACTCGGTTCACTCAGTGCTGCAGTCAGAGACTGATACGATTTGGCCTGCACTAAAACGACGGACTAGAAACATGACATTAGTTATTACCTAGGGACCGATCAAAGCATCAGTTATAGTCCTACAGGAAGTCGATCGGGATCCTGAGTAGTTCAGTAGTAACGCTGTTGATGCGGGCTCAAATCTCAAAGGGGATATGAGTTCCTGCAAGATCGCAGATACACGCCTTGCTGATGAGTGAGGCTACCTGCCGATTGGCTCCAACCATCTAACAACAATACTGAAGATTATATATATTACTTAAGTAAAAGCACTTTTAGAGGCACAATAAGAATTATAAACATTTATCCTTTAAAGTACACTCAGATTCAAGGCGTACCTAATTTTGTGTTAAAATCCACTCGACGTCATGTCGACAACAGTTGTGGCCGTTTCACTATTGTGGGTGTGGATAATATGATCATGATTATAGTACGCTCACTTGTCCTCCAACTCTAGGTTGAAATCATTGGTCATCGGGTAGCCATCTATGTAGGGCGGTTTCAATCAAACTATTCTGAAGCTCTATTTATGTCAGCAATATAAAATTTTTCTGGTGGTCTCATGATGGCAGTTTCAATGGACAGCATAGAGCATTGTGCCACCCGAATGTATACGAAGAAATTCTAAAACGTGGCTGAACGAAAATGTCTATGGATGAGGAGTAGTGTTCAATGACAGAATTCACCTTGCAACCCAACTCATGTATTATGTTCTGTCGGCAGTTGGTGAGTACCTGGCGGATGAAAGGAATTCGCTTGGCAATCGTAATGTAGTCCCGTATATTACTCCTGCAAAAGTACACTCAGATTCAACTTTTAACACTGGGAGTTTCCATACCTAATTCTAAATGTTTCACAGATATTGATAACAAGTCGAAATCAAACTCGAAATTCTCTATTGGAGGACAAGCTAGTTCAAAGTTTTGTTCGTCACTATTGAGCAACAAATGGTTGCACTAGATTTCAGTGCTAAAGACTTTAAATGTAAGGGGATCTTGCCTGGAATATCTCATAGACGAGATGAGATAAATTAAGAAATCCATAGATCCTGCACTGATTAATGCAGTTATTGAAGACTTATTTTGATTACAACGTGGTTTTAAGGCATCTGTGATGTTGCTGAGATTCGTTTCAAATGTGGGCACTGTGTTTTGCGAAAATTGAAGATCAATGTGACGCTTAAGTCGACAGCATATAATAATGAGGAATATTTGGTTCCCTTAGTTACAATCTCTTTCTCGTTAAGATGTTAGTACTGTGATATATTTAGAGACATTATAGTAAGATAGGAAGAATATGGATGGGTCCAGTTCCATCCTATGTAACCACATCTTCTCTCATCGACAAAAATACTTCTACTGCCTTTGAACTGTATTTTAGGAGCTTTAACTTCATTAAAGTAACGTTGTGTATTCTCGATTATCCGTCCCTAAATGTTAGCTAGCTAAGCAACTGTGTAATCTAGGTAAAGCCGAAAGCGGACGATGTGCAGAATTAGCTTCCTCCCATTCCATCGAAATTTGTGGTTAATAAAGCAAAAGAGTGCCAAGCTTTAACCATTGTGATACTGCTTGTTTCGAGATAGAGAGGTCGCTAGAATACTGTACAACTACATCACCAGTATTGCCTGGCTGACAGCATTAGTTAGCACGGTTCCAGTGCATTAAAGGTAGGAAGTTATGCGTGTAGATAAGTCGAAAGGGCCAAATGATGACAGAAACAGTACAGTCATCATAACGAATTTAACTATATCCATGTGCTTGTGTGAGATCACACCCTATCGATGGCAGGCGTAACAACTGATGACTTGTAATCGACCGAAATAACTTCTTTGAAATACGATATAGCAACCCTTGGTTGTCTTCATTGTACAAATGATCACAGCACAAATCACACAGGTCACTGAACTGGCAACTTGAAAAAAGGTATAAATTAAAATATGTGTATATCTTAATCAAAGACGTAGAATAAGTGTTTAAATATTGTAGCTGAATTATACTCACCTAGCAAGCAAAAAATGTCTATATCCATTATAAAATCGCAAGCCTTTCATTCTACTGTCCTTCAGCCTGTAGCTATCCGAGTGAAAATAGAAAAATTGGAATCGGCTCTATAGAAATCTGCGAACCATAGCTTGAAAAATCGCTGTAAGTTTTCCAAGGAAGTAGACAATGTTGATGTAGCAGACAAACTCATGGTATCGTACGACGTGACCTCCTTGTTTACAAACGTACTACTGATCGAAACAATTGACATCATTTGTTAATAAACGGATCTACTACTGTAACAACAGAAGACAAGGGTCAGGCAACAGATCGTTTATTACGGAAAATAAACACATATTTATAGATTTTAATGTACATTATTGTTAGTAGAAAATACAGTCTTTTGATTAGTTGTTTCTCACAGACAGTTAACCTTGCATCTCCTTGTGACTGTGTCAGATCATCCATATGCTAATTGTATCCGCCTACGCAAAGCCTTTGTTCTCATTTTCTCACCACCAATATTGGGGACAAAAACATTGACGTCAATTACTGTCTAGCAGCCAGCTCTCATCACACTACCGCTACCTGAAACAGAGATGAAGGGACTACTGCTGCTGTGTACAAAAGATATACAATTCAAATTTAACAACCAACTTCACTGACAAATTGATGGGTTCACCTCTGGGATCTCTTCTGGCTGATATCTTCATGGGCTACCTCAAACTGACACAAATGAGCTCTGCCATCAATGAAACGACCTACTATCGCCGATATGTTGATGATACATTTGTTGTTTGCAACGACATGGATCACGCATCTAAATTATATGATCGCCTCAATGAGATCCATCTAAACATCAAAATCACGACGAAATATGAAGATTACAATGAGTTCATTTTCCTGGATCTAAATGTAGAAAGAAACAAACTATGGTACGACCGGAAAGAAACCTGGATTGGGCAATATCTTCACTATAACAGTTTTGTCCCATAAGCTCTAACTGTGGATTAGTGAGGACCTTGTACAACAAAGCCAGGAAGTTATGTTCACCCAACAAGATGGAAGAATAGCTAGGTTTTGATGAGAACCTGTGAAATAGAATGATATCACTTTATACTGCAAATTTCGTCTTCCTTTCTTTATCGAAATAACAATAATAAAAGCGTTCATGTTCATAATGACTTTAATAACAATAATAATAGGTATTGTTATCGGGACGAATTCATTAATAACTTAGGTGGCTACTAGTAATATAATCATATCAGGGAAATTTATTACTTGATTTTTTACAAGAAGCTTTCGCTTACTTTCACTGGTGTAATCTCGCAATACCGACAGAGTAAAGCAGTTTATTCCAAATGAACTCAAGATTAATTCTGAAAATATGTGGAGACCCAGTGTATTTCCAATAAAAACATTAAGCCTGCGTGTATCACACCGCTTACTGTGATGTTTGATGCTACATTCCGATCTTCGTGACAAGAAAAGACCATACATAAGTACTTATAGGCTGCATCCACCATGTCATTTTCATCATGATTCACCAGAATCCTTTATATTTTACACTAACTTGAGGTTCACTGAAAAAAATAATGAAGAGATAATTGAAGCTGTATCAAGTTATCACCTATTCGGATATTATTATTATCCCATTGAGTTCCGAATGCAACATAGGCCTTCAGCAACACATTTCCAATTTTTCCTATCTTCTGCCGTCCTCTTCAGCTTGGACCACGGTTGCTCACAATCTCTCATCTCTTTCTCACACGACCTCCTCCATGTCATCCTCGCACTGACGACCCACTCGTCGCTTCCCATTTGGATTCCACTCAAGCAGTGGCCTGGTGCACGATGTCATTCGATGGTCTCCTCAATGTATGCCTGATTCATCCACCTCAGTTTTCTCCTACATATTTGTTAAGCGATCAGCTCATGGTTGGCTTTTTCCCACAGTTTCTTGTTATTTATTCTTTCTGGCCAGCCATTTGATCTTTATTATGGAGCCAGCGAAGGTAGCTGTTGATAAAAGTCTGCAACCTGTTGGAAATCCTTTTTCGTGACAGACAATGCAAGTTTCTGATCCGTATAGAAGGACCGACTTCACACTGGTTTTGAAAATCCGAATCTTGTTCCTTATGTTGAGTGCAGAAGATTTCCAAATTGGTTTCAGGTCGACGAAGGCGTATCTTTCCTTTCCGATTCTGGTTAGCTTTGACATCTTTATCCGTTCCGCCTGTAGTTGAAACGATGCTGGCTTCATACATAAGTGAAGGAGGTAATCTCGTTCAAATTTCTCCCGTTGATGGTGATTAGTGCTGGTTTTTGTTGTAATCTTCATCACCACCGTCTGCTCT